CCGCTGCGCTCCCCGCACCCTCGACTATTTCGAGTGAGAGTTTGTCCGACTCGAATCCGTCCCGCTCGAAGAACGGGCGTGCAAAGACGACGACGCCCCCGCCGGTCGCCGAGGGTAAAAATCAAGAAGCCTCTTGCTGCTCTCTTCAGCCCGGCAGCGCGAAACGATCGGTAAAAAGACCATATCGTCCATAGTAGGGAGCAGTGGCGTACCGAGGGGGGGCTGGGGGGGGGGGGGGGGGGGAAGNGGGGGTGGGGGGGGGGGGGGGGGGGGGGGGGGGGGGGGGGGGGGGGGGGGGGGGGGGGGGGGGGGGGGGGGGGGGGGGGGGGGGGGGGGGGGGGGCTGAAGCCCCCCCAAGTTTGGTTCAAGCCCCCGCAACTCTGGTCGGAATGCGTCCGCCCCACCCCGACAAGGTGAAGTTAGCCCCCCCAACGTTCCACTTAGCCCCCCAACGTTCCGCTCAGCCCCCCATTGACGAAAACCTGGCTACGCCACTGGTAGGGAGGAGAGCATCGTGAGACAAATATGCCCCACGTATTCCGGTATTTTTTTTCATCAGTTGGGTACGTCCCGCATCGAATATGGAGTTTACCGTGCCGGTGCCCAGTCGTTCGGAAGTTGTCGGAAGCTGGCCAAAAGTTGAAAAATTAAGTTAAAAAATTGAAAATTAAGATATATAGAATATAGAAAAGCTGGCAAATTTGGTCAAATCTTGAGCCTAACTACCCCCCCACTTCTCTTGTATTCTCTTCCCATTCTCCTTGCACAGTTTTGCATACAGTCTCCTATGTTAGAAATGCATCATTGACAAATTGTCTATGTACAGGGTATAAGTTACCGCTATGTACTTGTCAATCCTTTTCATGTTCGATGTCCCCCCCCCCCCCCCGTCCACCAAACAATTGAACAATTGAAGTTGAGCCCCTGTACAGCCCGATAACGTGGACTTATGCAATAAACAAGAGGGTGAGGTCGAACTCGGGCATTGTGAATGTCCCAGAGAGGTTACTTGATCTTGAAGAGCATTCTGTACCTCTTCACAATTTTCTCATTTCAACTCCCTCTATTGTTGCTACTACACAGAAAAGCAGCTAAAATTCGCTGGTTAAATGACCCAATGCATTCAGAAGGTTGCGTCAGATGTCAAAGTGGGCTATGCCCCGAGTCATGACTCGCCCAGTTAGATCGAGTCACACCTGAATGCGCCCACTATATCTTCGGACCGCTACTCTTCTGGTTTTCCGGCATCGGATGCGCTCCGCGACCGGATGCGGTCCGTGAGCTGCGCGGTGGGCACGCGAGCCGCCGAGGTTCCCTCGAGGAGCGACGGCGAGCGGTCGTACCGTTCGCGTTCCGACTCCGATTTTTAGGCTTCCGCACGTGCGGGTCGTCGGCGAGCGCGGAACGCCATCGAACGCCGTTACGGACGCGATCGCATGCGTGAGGTCGTCGAGAATCGGCGTCCGGATCGTCGATCGCGATCGGCGTCACCCGACTGCACGCGTCGCGTACCACCCCGTAGACTCTCTCGGAGACGGGGTGGCAGTTCCCCGGACGATCCTCGTGCATCCCCGACGTCCCCGTCCTGCGATTTCTGATCGTTAAAACGGGTCCTCGAGCGTTCGACGCTCGAAGTCGGACTCGGTCTCGCGAGACGAGATCGCGCGTTCGAGTCGCCGGGAGTCGGGATCCTTTCGAGAGGCCGGCACGAACTGCGCCCGTGACGGCTCGGAACGAGTGCCTCGACGCCGGTGGAGATAGCTTCGAGTGGTTCCGGTGGGTTCCGATATGCCTCCCTCTTTCGTTTCGACGACCCTCGAGACGGACGAGGATCGGGTGGGTTCGTGCACGCGCGAATGCACTCGTAAACCCCCTCTTCCCGACTCGTTCCCTTCCGGTCGAATCCTCGAACGAGTCGATTCCCGATTTCGCGGCCACGAAGCACGCCTCACGGACGTGTCGATGACAAGCCACCAGATGTCTATGTCATATTTCGAACCTCCCCCACCCCTCTGAGTGTCGCCTCTAGTCACACTCTCTACTCGATGGCGAAACGGCGGAAGCCTCGGAGATGCGGCCATCGATCTCGTTTCCGCATCGCCCGTCGCTCGAGAACTGAACTCCGAGATACTTCGTTTCCTCCACTCGTTCCTGTGGGGCCCTCCTGACGTGCAAGGCGCATCGTACGGGACTTCTCGAAAGGGCCACGACCTTCGTTTCGGGGACGTTCGATTTCGTGCCGGTCGCAATGCATTTCGAGTCGAACCGGTCGGGCACGCTCCCGTCGAGACCGGGCCGGAAGGACGGTATCGTCGGCAAAGAAGAGCATCTTCGTCTCGAAACCGCAATGCCCGTCACGGTGACGAAAGAAATATTGCACCCACATCATCACGTTCTGAGGTCGACAAGACGGATGGGAGTCTGTCAAATTACAGTCATCGCTGGTTTCGTCTCGTTCAACACGCACGAGAGAGACGGCAAATGAAGGAAAAATCGACTCTTATGCACGCACCCGCAAATAGATGCCTCATTAACGTGCGCGGGAGACGAGTTTAGGAAAGCACATCCTTGTGACGTCATAGAGGGGAGTGGGGGCTGGGGAATGGCTCGGATTGGTAGCTTTCTTGACTCCCATGACAGGGACCCGGGTTCGAAGCTATGCAAATCAGGATTTTTTTTTCCGAGTGCAAACCCCGTCATGGCGAAAGGGAGACCCCTAAGCAATAGGTGCTTCCGTCCCGAGACGTGGGAGATTTAAAGAACCCAAGGCCGAACTCGTAACTTGAGAAAAATTGAGAGGTTACTCGGTACTCGGCTATTAGTTGAGCTAAGAGGATGGTGGGGAAATTAGAGGAATTCCAGATTGACAATGAACGCCTTGCTGTGAACGAATGTTGCCTTGCCTTGCAAGTCTTCCTTGGAAGAAGCAAAATCCCAATACAAAAGAAAATCTCAGTTAGGATTGCCAAGGTTTCTTTTCCGGAATCTGGAGTTATCCAACCAAAACCACTTTTTACTGCACCTCATTGGTTTTTTTCCTTCAAAAATCTGTTTTTACATGGAAGGATGGTTGAGGTGAAGAAGTCGATACGTACTCATTCGCTACTGGGATCTTTCTCAGCAAGGAGGAAGGTTTGACTGTTGACATGTCGATATGAGGATTTTCAATTCCCTGTCACCCTGTGAATAATTTTTTCTGCCTGTAAATGTGGACCTACGTGTCAGTGCTAGCTCCATCGAGAAGACAAACATGTTTTTTTATTATTTATTTTTATATTTGCTCTACGTCTTTCTCTGTCCCTGCGTAGCATTTCAGCATTTTCCTTATTCAGAAACCTCATCCTCATGAATGTCCGTGTCCGGATGAAGCACGAATTGCCAATGAATTCAAGAAAGGGTATTTCCTCTCTAATGCTGGAACGAAAGCATCGATGACATGATCTCCTGGACGGATACCATTCCAAGAATTCCGCCTCCAGAATTATTGCATCATACAGGGAATACCAATGGATGAGAAAGAATCGGCTACGCATTGGAAAACTTTCGACGCGTCGGCTAAATTAGCATAGTATAGGGGTACTGGGTAAGCAAGCAGAGCGCAAAGGAAGACTGAGTGCGCGAGAACAACGAAGAGGGAGAGAGAGGAAATGCCCGAAAGTGTCCCCGAGGGCCCCTTTTATGCGCATCCTTGTGACGTCACTCTGTATGCGCGCATATTCACGACCTCCTCTTTGCCGGGGCTTGCTCCCATGACAAGAACCGAATTTCTAGCGTAAACATTAGTTGCAATCCAGATGCAGACTTCGAGGAAATGTCGCCGTTTCGTGGATCATGGCGGTAATCCTAAGTTTCCTTCCGCGTTCGGCGGCCGAGTGGTTCTGGCTGCCGAGTAAAACGCGGGAGGCGAGGGATCGAGTACGTGTGGCGGTGGGCTCTTCCTCCGCGACAGGCGACCCACCTGCGCCCATGGGGAGTGACTGCTTAGCCGCCACTCTGTGCACCCCGTCTGGGAGTTGCGGGTGCAACATACCTTAAAAACCTCTCGTGCCAGTCATGGGCTGCCCCTAAGGCCTCCTACAGGACCGTAGAGGCATAGAGGGGTGTCCCAGCCTAAGGGACCGTGATTGAGCTGTAGTGCTCGTGCCAAGCGGGCACTCCCTTCTTCTCTGTCATGTATTAATAGAAATACGTCCGTTGTCGTGTATGTCCGTCAAATGTCCTGTCTTAAAGGAAAAAAAAATCCTTCCGCGTGATTGCGTCCTACTAAATCCGAATATTCACCGTCATCAATTCTCTCACAACTCTATTCGCACAACTTCCACGCGATTTCAATCCTAATCATGCTTATGAAGGACATTCGTATTGCCCGTGCAGTGCCAACGAGGAGATAACCCTGAATACGAATCAGAATTAAGGGTATTACTAATGGGAGGGGGAAAAAAAAAACAAACCTCCAGATCGTATGCTTACTGAAACACGTTGGCCGGACGTAGTACATGCTGCCATCTAGCAACACCGGATTCCCACCGATCCTCCTAAATGGGGGTACAGTGACCATTTTTTCCAGTGACCATGGCGTAACTGTGGGTCCACCGATTTCACGCTTTGGAGTTTGGACGCGTCTAATTGCTGATTACTCGACAGCAATCACAATAGTAGATATCCCACTTAGCTATATTTTTCGAATCATCCTGGCATGGACCCATACGTGCACAGCGTAATGTTTTCTTACATCGCAACTCCCGAAGTCATCCCGGAACGAGAATGGAATCTTGCTAGTGAGAGGCACGTGCACGAAATCGAGAAACCATCGAGTGAAATCGTTGGCGAGAATTTCCTCTAACTACTTTTGTAGTCTTTCGATTATTGCAGTCCAATCGGTACATAAATTACGCACATGAGACATTTTTCTCGTGTCACCGGGTCCTACGATCACAGAGGCTCAACTTTAGAAGGTTGATGTTGGGTAACAATTTTTTAACAGTGTGCTATCTTTTAATCATAGGTTTGCAGATGTTTTTGCATATTGGAAGAGGACCAACTTGAACTGCTCGGACTTCCCCATGTCAATACCAAATATCGCCAAAAATCAAGCAATATTGAATATCTCCGAGACGTCCATTCTCGTCGTCTCCTTTCTCCTTCCCCTTCTGCTGGTGAGAAGACTAATCCTTATTCGAGCTCTTCTCATGTTTACTACCACTTAGTTCTCTCATGTTTCACATCAGGGCCGATCGCAAGAGAATCACAGGAAAACTCGGCAACAAGACTGGTTTTCTTTCGTAGGCATTCCATGCGATTGCAAGACTCGCAGTTTGTAAATGTGCCAGGGCTCAAATATGACATGCCCATGAATATGCTGAACGCATTCGCCCATGGATATAAAGAGCCAGTACACGAAACCATGAGGCAAATTTATGAAAAGGTAATTATAGATTTGCCTTAACTTGGTATACAGGGTGTCAGAAACCCCGCCCCTAGTTTTGAACATTATTATGTCTTTATTTTTTTCTGATGGAAATGAGTTTTGTATCATTCAAAAGCCTAGTCCTTTCTTAAAAACTGCTGTTAAACCTGACGCTTTGTGATTACAGGTTGTGGGGTTTTTTGAAAGAGAAGGTGTATGCTACAAAACCCCTAACGTCCTTGACCTCATCAACGCCATTCACTTAGTCTTAGTCTCCGTCCAAACTGGGGGCGGGTTTCTGGGATGCAGGGATTAAAAGGAGGGATTCAACCTTTTTGCCACTGAAATTGGTTCCCATTCTGTTTATGACACATACGGCATCGCCGGGGAAAGTCATCCACTGCTTTCTGGCACATGTCTAAGCTTATGGCATTCAGTTTGGTGAAAATTGCGCTGATGAGGTCAGGGATGTTAGGGGTTTTGTAGCATACACCTTCTCTTTCAAAAAACCCCACAACCTGTAATTACAAAGCGTCAGGTTTAACAGCAGTTTTTAAGAAAGGACTAGGCTTTTGAATGATACAAAACTCATTTCCATCAGAAAAAAATACATAATAATGTACAAATCTTGGGGAGGAGTTTCTGGGACACCCAGTAGATGTTCCTCTCGACAACCCACGCTGATAGGTAAGATTTTAAAAATTATAGTCGGCGAGGTCATTCCTGACTTGGTCATAAATTATCATTATTATTTACCTTCAGAGCGCGTTGCAGCATATGCCGCATTCTCCTATTTACAGCACGATGCACAAGTTTTACTTCGGTTCTGGATACCAATGTAGAGGAACGATAGACTTGTGATGGTGCAACGGCAGGAAAGTGTTGTGAAATCAGGTAGTCGTCACAGGGCATTCGCTTGGCTAAAAATAGCCAATTACGGAAGCATGTAACTGAAATTTGCAAGCAGATATTCAAAATTCCCAAATGCTAAGGAAGGTGCTCATTGATATATTTTCGAATATGGTAGAAAATTCTCAGTACCACGATGCAAAGTACGATGAAGTAGGGCCTTTGGCCGCTACCACCTATTTTCAGTCGACAGAGTTCAATTTGGAAAAAAATCAGAGAAAGTCGTGCATGGTAAGAAATCGAAGGACCATCTTATCTCTAGAAGTCACTAATTACTCAGAGGACAATGCCCAAAGTCTACGGAAATGTATCTAGAATGATTCCCCGATTGAATACAAGGTATAAAGGATATGGCAAAAGAGACCAACCACTTCTAACGTTTACATTCCTGCTCTCATTGCAGCTATACTCACGAAACTTTACTGTGCATGGATTGATGCGTTCATAACAGTCTTTTGAAGCGTCATTCAAATTTATTTAGCCAAAGTAAGGCCATGAGCGATAACTTAAAAGAAAAGGGAAATTGTAAATGGACAGAGGAATCGGATCCCTTCTGAATGCTTCATCCTCTTCAGTTCCAAATCCTTCTGCTGCGTTCTCTGATGAAGACCAAGGGTAAACATAAGTAAACTCTCTATTTTGATACTGGTTTATTCACCTGTTATTAATCAAAACGAAGTTAATTAAAACTATCTGTAGGAAATGGCCGGCCTAAGAAATGAATTTCAATGAAAGAGAAGTTTATGATGCCATGTTGTGCGCTTTACATGTAAAAAGTATCTAGGTACAACAACAAGTATTCCATCCTAGATGTAATTACAAGTTTATCCCTGTAACTACTGTTATGGGTCCAATGAATCCTGATACAACAATTTAACCATTTGTGCAGGCTGCGCCACATACAGTACTTGTAAAGTCCGATATTCCGTGTATTTTCATGATGTGAAAGTATTTAGGCGAAGAATTTTGAGATCTTTTGGGAATGAAGAGATGAAAGAAAGAGTTAAATATATGACCATCCGGGTTCTGGTAGTTACAAGGTTATTTCGTTCTCACCAATAGTAACTAGTAAAAAGTTGCTTTTCCTGAGCTGTCAACTTGAAACTGGTCTTCATTCTAACAGAATTTTGGTGAACGACGCTGAAATTTCGCAATACATCTATCCTAACTTTGCGTTGCACTTCAGGGAGAGCTTACACTCGCTAATGCAGAAGCATGACAGACGCTCAGCGTAGAGTCCTTTCCAAAGACGACTCGTGTCTGTGCTTGTGTTCCCCCCCCCCCTCCTCCTCCCAAAAAAAGAAAACAACGAGTCCAAAAGTCATAAGTAGCTTTTGATGCAAAATTAGCAAAGACGTAACCTTGGATTCAGGCGGTTTAGAAAGAAGTGACTCCGAATGCAAACAAAGAGCAACTGAGGATCTCACCTGTCAATCAATAAAATTAATGGGCTCGCAAAACCACATAGTAAAAGATACCCTCTAGAAGGGGCTAAGGACCACATGGGACGTTCAAATTAAATGGATGAATGGAAAAATTTAAGGAACCTTAATTTGACAGATTGGCGATAGCGAGAAAATCGATCCTTTTAAAACCCATACCCCCCTGTCCTAATTAAATGCATAAATTCATAGCTATCGAATTACTCTGAAAGTAACAATTTGGGATCTTAACGCAACAACATCCTACTTAATCGTATTTCCATGGCTTAAAAATTTCTTAATTTAGCCCAGTTAGTATCGTACCTTATTCGGTAATAACGTTTATTCCACTTTTCAACTTAATGTCAAGACGAGGGTGACTATGAACTAAACTACACCGCAAGCATTCCAGAACTTTATTCCAATGAAAAGTAATCCTCGACACATTCTCAACATCTTCTCTTCCCTCGTTTCAGATTTTCATCGGTCAATTCCTGGAATACGTGGTGTATCAAGTGACTAGGCGAGGACCCGGGACTGAATCCATTGTCATGCGCACCTTCCACATTCTCGGTGAATCTTCTCGCCACCACCAGGGCCTGATCAGGGTTGAGGGGCCTAAGGCTAATGGGAGGGATGGGCCTAAGTATGAATTACATATTGCAACAACAAAAAAATGGAATGAAGGGCCTAAAGTAGGGCCTAAAAATACGAGGGCCTAGGGCTATAGCCTTATTATTATTAGCCTATGGGTTAATCCAGCCCTGGCCATCACCACCTCTCTCGTCAGAGGAGCACCTCATGTCACGTGGCTATGATTCCTTTAGGCCTTTTTCTCCTGGGAATCTTTGGGACGTCCTTGATCCTGGATTCGATGAAACGCATGTACTCCTACCCGAGACCATACATGGGGATCACGTGTGGAAATAGCTCCATCCCGAACTCGTGCTGGATAGAACCATCATGTGGACTCTTCCACGACTGGACGTCCTTCCCCTCCCATAATGCTGGCATTTCCTTCTTCGCGCTTCTCTTCCTCTCTCTTTACGTCTACCATCACCATCTCGCGAGAAGGTAGGAATTCGTATTATCGAATTTGCACGTCCCGATCGACTCCAAGGAGTCAGTCCGTGATGCGAAGAATACCTTTGCAGTTGGAAGATCGCACGCACCGTATTCATGGGTGGGCTCATCCTGATGGCATTGGTGTTCGGTGCCAGTCGAATCCAGCTCCATGAGAATCATCACCAAGACGTCTGGGTCGGAAGCGTGATCGGAGGCGCTCTTGCGCTCGCCATCGTACGAATCTCTTTCTCCTCTCTCTCCTCCTTCTCTACCCTGGAAACGAAATTGTACGATCCGTGACCATGTATCATCTAGATGATTACACTGAGAGGTGGAAAGGACGAGGACGCGACGATGGAGAGGATGAGGCGGATTCTGGAGAGCCCTCGCATGATCCCACCCGTGAGTCTGTCCAAGCCTCCCGTCGGGATGGAGGATCCCGATGCGATGGGCTTCACCAACCCGGCATACCTACGAGACCCATCCCGACGTCCCGCGCCGGGACACGGATTCCCCAACAATCAACAGTGACCTTTTTTCCCCTTTTCTTTCTTTTATTCCATATCATTTTTCGCGTCAAAATCACAGCACGTGTCAATAAATACATGAGGAAACGGGTAATGCATAGTCACGGACCCCTCGATGCCTCAGGTGGCCACTGGACGGGCAATCTAGAAATCCGAGAATTTCCTGCAAATGAATACCACAAGTTCACGGGGACGAAAGAAGGGCCGCGACGAATCTGTTCGGTCGAATCGTACCTGATGCGAAGTCGTTCCCCGGAACCCCAATATTCATTGTAGATGAGCTTGAAAAGAAAAAGATGAAAAACAACGACCAGGAAGGCAAGTGCAGCCCAGAAGAAAGGCGGAAGGCCTCCCCATTGGTGGCCGTGTCGATGGAGTGACATCACGTGATGATCGTGTGCCGGTGCTGAAATCCAATCCATAAATACAATTGCTTCAATTCGGAAAAAGCATACTGCCGAATACTCATCCACTGCATGGAGGACTGAAAAGTGGTACGAGCTACTCCGATCGCATGTTTCTCTTTAATAATTTGGCAGCAACGAAGCGCAGTTGAGCGCGACAAACATGTAGGGGCGAGGTGCAGAAGCCGCCAAGAAAGATATATTAAATATTTAGAACCTGCTTTATATTTAAAGAGTTATATTTAAAAGCATCGAGTGAGCACACATTCCGGTGGGAAACCAGGTTGAACAAGCGTGCTCATGAGGGACGTTATCGTCACACGACCCACGGTTTGGGCATAACGAACTCGAAAACTTTCTCCCAAAAGCAGCGGCATACTTTTTGCTCATGAGCCGGGGGGGGGGGGGGACAAAGTGGCAAAAAAAGGGGATGGCCGCCTCTACTAGTAAAAATACGCCACTGCTGGAGAGGATATAGAGCCCAATTTTTAGGGTATGTGAGAGATTCAAAGAAGAGTTCCATAGGTCAGTTACCACTGCATTTGCCAAGCGCACGAGCATGGCGTGCGTCATTCGCCGTCAAAGGCGCAGATCCCACGGGAACAAAGGCGCATGTGCCCTCTTCTTCCCTACAAGATTTGTCAAGTACACCAAAAGTACCACACTGAACATGGGAAATAAAATGCTGAGTGGCAAAGGAAATGCTAAAAATCATTTTCCTACCCGTTTAGTGCGCCTACTGGTGCATCCCCACTACCGCGTAGGGGTTTCAAGTGGAAAAGAAAGGAAGCAGGGGCGAAACCAGAAAATTATAAGGGGGAGAGGGAGGAAGTGGACGGTGATGAGGATCCAACAGTGGTGGGAGTGCCAAGGGGTTCGGCGCCATTTTCTGTTTATTCTCCGAGCCAAACTTTCTGAGAAACAAAAACCATTCACAGGAGACACAATGACAGACACCGAAAAAGCCCCTCGCAGCATTTCACATCCACTCTAGTGGCCTCCACTCTCTCCATGCAGAAGGAGGACAAGTTGCAGGAGATTTCAAAGGAGTGCAACGTGGACCTCAAACCAGGGACATCCCAGCAGCTAACGTTGGGGTATCCTTATTACTTTATTCAGATCGTCAAACCATCTGCGCCAAGTTTGACCATGATATAGAACAATTCCAATGCAAAATCATTCTTTCAGTCAATCCGAAAATAAGCCAGTCTACGTTACTGTAAATAAAGGGCACTTGGACATTGCTCCCTCCCCCCCTATTTTTATTATTATTTAGAAATCGGCCCCTATGCAAACCGATACCTGTAACGGTATTTATTCCAATTCAATGTAGCCTCGATCTTGAAAAACCTCATTCTACAGTGCTAGTCGCTTATGAGCGATTTCTTCTGTACCAGGCGACTGAAAGATTGGGAGCTTACGTGAGCGACCTTTTGTTCGGGGAGTGGGCACAAATGCAACATACTTTTTATAATACAGGGCTAGATTCAATATCGTTGCAAAACCACTCCACCTGGAATGCGTGGAATCACTTCATAAGGCTCCATCCCCTAAAAATCGAGATGGAGTTCACTCCAACTCAAGGGATGGTTCGGGTTACGCATAATCATCGAGTAGAAGAATTTACAGACTCACCGAGCTTCACTTCCTTCACGTGAATCGTGTGCTTCAGTACTTCCATGTGAGCCTTGTCTGATGTGATGTACAGGACAGGTGTGACGGGATGGGTCAATTTCACTGGAAATTCCTTCCATTGGGGGCTACGAAACAGGAAATAAACATTCGAGATTGAAGGTTTCTGATGTGATTCAGTAAAAATTCTGTTGGCTGCACCCTCCACCTAGCTTAAATTTGTATGCATCGTGTGAAACTTCACACATCTCAAGACTTCATTTCCACCGATTGTCACTTGGCCCTGCTGTCAGAAGCCGAGGCCTCTAGCAAGAACTTTTTCTGCATTATTCTCCTTCCAATACATCTATTCAAGCACCCTCACGAATTACGTTCATGCTTACGTATTAACTTCACATTAGGCGCATTTCATCAAGGCTCTGACAGCATATGGCTCATTCGTAATCGTTCAGGTCGACACATTGAGTGAACAGAGCTGCTATAAAGAACCACCCAACTTCGTGCATAAATCGTAAAGGGAATATTGGATGTAGGTGACATCCGACAGAGGTCAGCAGGCCAAATTTTTTTAATGTTCACTAGAGAGTGGAAGGGGGCACTGTGGTCACAAAGCATTGAAGAAAGGGTATAAATTATAAATGATACTACATATTAGAAAAGGCAGGAAGTGCTTAAAATGATTACCATCCATTTCCACAATTGCATGCAACCATTACACAACAGGAATGAATGTTGAAATCATAAACTAAGGTCTATGGTTTTCGACAGCCTATGGAAAGAACATATCATCATAAAACACCATATGATTATGTATATTGTCTTCCGCATGATCAAAATGGCTAACGCATCAAATTTCACAGCATTGTGTCCATCGGTTTCCTGGAAGCAGTCAACTGAACAGAGGAAGTGTCTTTTGACCCCATATATACCAGGTGGCGCAAAAAAAGCGTCCTGTTTTTAAAAGTTAAGAAGTCTCTGGGTTGTTGGATAAAGACCCGTCGTTGAAACTTTGAGAAAATTCCACTTTCCCGCGTATCGGGAGGCAACTGCTTCATTAATGCTCCCTATATGAGTCCCAATCGTCACCAAAAGCCTGCTTCTTATGGCTATATTCTTATTGCAATGTTCTAAGCATGCAGCGTTACCATGTAGAATATTTCAAAGGAAAAGTCACTGCGTTTAAGGGTATTTTTAAAAGGAAGGCTGGAGAGGGAAGTGACTTCATAGAACCGCAATGAGCAGTTGCGTGAATCACGCATATCATACAAGATATAATAAATAAAAAAATGGCAACGACTTTAAATCTAAATACAGCAAACCCTCGCCATTCGCGGATTCTTCATTCGCGGTTTCGGCTATTCGAGGGTAGCAGCACTACATTTTCCCGGCTGCCACAGTACGCCGCGAAAACTAGTGCGAGGCGACACCCCGCTCGTGGGTGTCTTACGAACGTATCCCCCGCGAATGGAGAGGGTCTGCTGTATCTCTACTCACATAGAATATATTTTCGCTGAATTTTCACTTTGCAATTGTATTGAATGTACAGGGCATTTCAAAAGTCACGCACTCTGTTTAGGCGACCACACCAAGCATACAGATGGTCACAGTGTTGTGAAAATTGGCCTACACACCAATATGTGCTTGGGGAAGGCAATGCATTTATTTTCGTTATGTCAACCTAAAGTGTTCATTGAAATTAAATGCGGCTCCCATTGGTCGTACAACCGCAAAGCCCAAAGTCTACTGGGGTGAGGTCAGGCGATCTTGTAGGCCAGGATCAAAGTTCAAAGGCTCAGGGTGGATTTTTGAACAGAGCACTATCCGATAATGCAGCTTTATTTACCAGATTTATAACGCATTTTCTCTGAAATAAAGCTGTATTATCGGATAGTGCTCTGTTAAAAAATCCACCCTCAGAGTGCCAAAGTGGTTCAAGGTTTCGGTTGATCACATCGTCTCCCAAAGTGGCCTGGAAAACACGTTTCACTCGGTTTGCAATGTAGAGTGGAACACCATCTTGCATGAAGACTGCTCAACCACTTTATAGGCTCGTTGAAAACTACTTCAGGTTTTATGACAATGGCTTTTATATCCATGACCATGTGGCGTCATTATTGTGTGCATTGCCTTCTCCATGGTCCAATTGGTCTGCACATTAATTTTTACAACACTCTGGCTATCGGTATGCTTGGTGTGGTTGTCGGAACAGCGTGCGTGACTTTTGAAATGCCCGGTATGTTTTCAACCGTTTCTCAACTGCATTCGTTCAATTTTCATCTAAATTAGTTGGGCCGAAGCAATATTTTCAGCAATTACTGAAAGAAATTTAAATATTGAGGATAGACAAGAGTGATCAAATATCGACGGAACGAAAACGAGAATTTCACCATGCATGGAATATTACTTTCACTAGTGCTCCAGTTATGAGGAACGCCATTTTAAACCTTCCAGGTGCAGGATTGCCGCACACCAACTTATAAGGAACTGTCCATTTTAAATTACGCGAGGGGCTACTCAAAAGTTTCTGCCCTGAGGATGCAGAAAAGATCAGAGAAGACTGAGAGTGGTTCCCATATTCTTTCATCCTTTTTTGGTAATTTCAAGGGTCAACAATTGGCTTTAGTTGCATGTATTTTATTAACAATAATTTGTTTAGAAAAAATGTTCAAGGCCAAATACTTTTCCTTTTCAAAATGGCAAAACTAAAAAATCGGATCTGTTATGCAATTTTCATTATTAATGAAAGCACTCATTTTATATTAATTTACTCATCCCATCAAAACAGCTCGTTCAAGGCTATACACTTCAGTTTTCTGTGATGAGGCTGCGAGGTGAAACTGAATTGAAGGAAGTTAGCTGTCCAATCATTTTTAGACGACTATGGAAAAGGTATTTCTCTCCCCCCCCCCCATTAAATTGAAGCTCTGTCTCATCAATTGCAAAAGTATTGATGTCCAAGGAGGTAATGGTGAAAGACAAATTTTTTTCATCATTCTATAACATTCCCTTATATCTGAGGGCAGAAACTTTTGGATCGCCCTTCGTCGACTTTTCATAGAATATCGTTCGACTTTATTCGAATTAAGGACTTTGACAGCCTCATTGACTTTTAAATACGTGAAGACAAGCTACACCACCAACTTAGATGAGATAGGACAAAAGGAAACAATTAACATTTAGAAACACTCGAAGTCTTTTTTTTGTCAAAGATTTTTTTGTCAAATCATGACTCAGGCTGACGTATACCAGGGGAGATTCTTCATTACCTTTGAAAAAACTCTCTGGATTGATATTGATTCGTCAGCTATTCATTGAGAATAAGTTGGAGGAAATCATCTGCAGGGAACGACGAAGCCAACACATGATTTTTTCATTTTTAATGGAAGAGGAGTTCGGTGTGGCCTTGATGATCAGATAGGGCAGAGATCTAGTGTTTCCTCCATTATACTAACCAGAAGAAGCTCTTGTCCACTTCTCTTCAATAATTGCTGATAGTATTGCATTAGTCTAATAAATTCGAATGAAAGTTTGAGAATCAGTAGGAAACATACTCATATACCTCGTATTGCGAAATTTTCGCGAAAATAACTTAATTGTGTAGTGGAGATATTTAGGTTAAAAGTCGTTGGTCTTTTTTTTTGCCTTACCATGTATACATACACCTATTTATTCTTCTAGGTTTTATATCCCATATCCCGTTTTACTTCTTCGAAATTCGATTCATAACGCTGTCTTTTCTTTGGTCTACCCAGCCCCCCTGCTCCTCAGACGCACAGCCTCTTTCGACCACCTCAGTTAGTTACAGCAGAAATTAGTTTTGTACACAGGTCATCTCTTAATGAGGGTTATTCCACGTCAAACCAAAACAAAAACGAGAAACCTGACCCACTCAGATATAAATGAAAATTTTTGGAATTGTAGGGTCCACTGAAAAACTAATTCACTATATTTTCCTAGTGACCTTCCTAGGTCAAGTGCTTTTTGAAGTATTGCAATCTGAATATTGCCAAAAAGTGACAATTTCAGGTCCGGTGGCCATAACTCAAAAAGGTCATGAGTTTTGTCCTAATAAACGGAGAAACATGAAGTTGTCATTTTCAAGATTTTAGTACCCTTAAATATATTGTATTTCATGAAGCTCGCATGAAAATAATGGTCAATGGTCAAACCTTCCGACTTTTGACCTATGAAAAATTTTTCAATAATGCATGTAAAACATAACTTTTTCAAAATAAATCCAAATTAAAGTAAAGTTTTAAAAAAGCGAAAGAAATTAAAAGCCCAGATCCTTTCGCGCGATCCCCCTCCCGTTTCAAGGAGGAAGTTTTGTACAGCCATAAACCAGTGGTTTATGGCTTTGCAAAACTTCATGCATGTATGAATGATGATTCCCTCCGTCTTTCCAGTTAAGAATTCTTAATTCAAGGGGTGGAATAGCCAAACTCCCACAACGATCGAATGCAGGCAAAGTCCATCGATGACTTCCAGGAAGATGAGAGAATTCGTGAAATTCCAGGCAACTCCTAATACATTTGCATGCTTCTTTGCTTCACAGTCTGTCGCTTGATGCGGTTGGATGAAAATGCCATCCCCTACTCTAGGGATCCAGAAAATGTCCATAATTCTCTCCCCGTCACACTTCATGATACGGCTTCCCGTTTTCGTGCACTCGCAATGCAGCAATTTCTGTGGTACCACGGCGTGGATTTCTTCGACAGTCGGGAGTCAGCCGTTCTCCCGACTCGAATTTTTATGAGCACTGAGGATCGATCGTCAACGAGTGAGAATAGGCGCACGTACACTAAGGAATATCAAGGCAAAACAGGAGACATTACTCTCCGGCAACACTTGGGAGTAGGGCGCTGCGGTATGCGATACGCTTTTCGATAGGTATACCGTGGTGCAATATCGCGGAATTTCGGTGATACAGGCGAGGAGTGGGAGGGGGGAGAAACGATGGCTGCAATATCGTCACATCTCACATACTCACGAGACATCATCAAGGCTCAGGTACACCAACAGGTATGAACCAACGGCACAGTCAAGGACAAAGTCGAACCCACAAATGACGGAACTTGGTCCATGAGTCGGGATTAAATACACTCCTGTGACTTCCAAGGAGGGCTGAGGGCTTCCCCAGGCAGTGGGCATCACCGAGATCGGGACGATAGTCAACAAGGTAATTTTTTAAAATAAGAAATGTGTCTCGGTATGGCGCCATGGTGGCGGTATGATATAAATGCCAGTATACCACAACGCCCTACTTGGGAGAGATCTCTAGGCGAAACTTCCAACGACCGCACATCGTTTCGAGGACTGCATCGTTCCTGGTCATCTAGGCGTGAAGCTGTTATTTAAGCTGAAGATGGCCATAAATACTGACACCATATACACACATTCGTTCATCCACGCTGCTTTCTCGCCTTAATGGTGCATGCAATTTTCATTGTTAACAAAACTGCTTCATGGACTTTACCTGTTCCAAGCCCATTCTCGATTCGGCTTGTGGTTATCGCAAGAGGCAATTGGAAAAGGCAAACTACAGTTTGAATAATTATAACAATAGTTAGTATACTTGATAGTGAGATGGGGCGAATGCATATAATTCACAGTAGCAACAGTAGCGCCATAAGCTGCACTAGCGTCATCTCTTTTAAGGTTTTGAATTAACTATAAATGATGCTTGCAGCGCAAGACGCTGAGAGCTGATGAGATCAGAAGAAATGTTTCAGAAATTGCCATTACGTCAACAGTTACTTCAGGGCTAGGAGACTCTTGCCCTAAAGTCATTGTGAAAGTAATGCGTCCTGCCATTATCCAGATAACCTCCAGCGTGAGAATGGCCTACCTAACGGATGCGGCAGAATAAATGGCGGGATTAGTATTCCATCAATGTATTGTCCATTTTCGTTTTCCTTCGAAAATGGACGAAACATTGATGGAATGTATCCTTTTCCTATTTCGTGTCGGAAAAGCAGGTTTCGAATATTCTCGGAAACACATTCCTGATCGTTCGGACCTTTCCCCATCGACACCTTAGGGAAGCCACACGACACCTTTAGTTTACATTCCGAATGGTAGATGACTCCCAACAGCCTCCGATATCTCCTTATTCATGACATCGTGATGCTTCGGAAAACGCAGTTTTCATTCTCAAAAAGAAAGGGGTCATTCCACGCCAAATCGACCAGAGCAAAAGCTCGACCAGCTCCGAATTGGACGAAAATAGCTATACATGTAGCGAAATCGATTTAAAGAAACCAATTTCAGCCAATTTTTTATATCTGCCACCAATCTCCAGATATATGCATTTGACTGACGCCAATTTTCGGCTCCCTGTGCCCATACTTACCGGAATTGTGAAACTGATTCTGCAATAAATTCTCTTCTAATGATGATAGAAGCTTCATTCTGATGCCATTTTCATTGTTTTATTGCCATCTTTAAATTGATTATAGACAATATCCTTCAAAGATAAAACAAGAAATTCCACGTGAACGAACGTTTTCATCATGTTCAGCGACACTTGCCACCTCTGGAATTCTTCGTTCCAATAATTTATTCAAAAGCGCAAGCAAAAGATACCAAATTCGAGAGTGACACTCAACGGATCCTTGAGATATGGCTATTTGACTGATGCAACGGTACGAAAATTTCCCTTGACGGAACTGTTTCACCGGTGTCAGTGACCAATATGTGCACTCACCCTTCCAATAAACCAAGCATGTAATATTCCATTGAACGGCGCATATTATGCCCTTTCTAGCGATACCAAACTCGAGGTTGGCACTCAATTGAGATATCACTGCTTGACTGATGCAGTTGTGCGAAAAATTTCCCTTGACGGAACATTTTGACCAGTGTTAGCGATCGACATCTGAAATTGCCCCTCCAAGAAACCAGAACTGCAATATTTCATTGAAAGGCGCATGTTATGCGCTTCCAAAGGATACCAAATTTGAGATTGTTTGATGTAATGTACCCATTTGACTTCAACAGAGCCCAATGATTACGACTACCACACACGGGCTCATATAGGATGATGGTTTGAAGTTTTTTGAGGGGCGTTGGCATGTGGGGACTATTTATGAGAAGAATTATAAATTTCATGATGTTACAGTGCAATTTATGTTGCCATGGGGGCCAGCAAAAGAGTACAGATGGCCAAAAAACTATAATGAGAGACGTCCAGTCCCACTTCAGCATGTCCTCTTGAAACTTCCACTTCCGGAAACATCATCTGGACACAGTTACAAGTTCCATGGAGACATTGATGAGGAAGTTAACATCCTCTTCAAGAAATTTACAAAGAGAAACTCATGAAATAACATAGGAAAATCCATGGAAAGGTTCCATTTAACAATTACACATGAATTATTTTACCAAATTAATTTCTTTACTGTAAATATTTCGAAGAGAAACAAGGTGCAAATCAAGAATTTCGTTTCATTTCAATATTCATAACATGATTTTTTCAATAAAGTATTACCAGTCTGGTTTCTCGGAGGGGTAAGCGCACATATTGGTCACTGACACCGGTCAAACAGTTTTCGTCAAGGGAAATTTTCGTACCGTTGCATCAGTCAAATAGCCATATCTCAAGGATCCGTTGAGTGTCACTCTCGAATTTGGTATCTTTTGCTTGCGTTTTTGAATAAATTATTGGAACGAAGAATTCCAGAGGTGGCAAGTGTCGCTGAACATGATGAAAACGTTCGTTCACGTGGAATTTCTTGTTTTATCTTTGAAGGATATTGTCTATAATCAATTTAAAGATGGCAATAAAGCAATGAAAATGGCATCAGAATGAAGCTTCTATCATCATTAGAAGAGAATTTATTGCAGAATCAGTTTCACAATTCCGGTAAGTATGGGCACAGGGAGCCGAAAATTGGCGTCAGTCAAATGCATATATCTGGAGATTGGTGGCAGATATAAAAAATTGGCTAAAATTGGTTTCTTTAAATCGATTTCGCTACATGTATAGCTATTTTCGTCCAATTCGGAGCTGGTCGAGCTTTTGCTCTGGTCGAATTGGCGTAGAATGACCCAAAGGTTTTTATGTGTATTTCCGTATCGGATACCGGGGATATGAAGAGCATCACAGTTTCTTCTTCCCGTTTGGAGAAGAACTGCTTTGAAACGATGGACGCCCTGTTTCACCGACACCATCTACATTTCCTGGTTGCTGGCGGCCCGCACTTCTTGGACCAATTAGAGTATGAAAGATGCAGGATTCCGTCGTTCTCCTCGAACACTCTCTTTGAGAAGAGAGAGAGCGGCGAGAATGGGTCGCGATCTTTTCCGAAAGTGATTGAAAGGAGGTACTGAATAATCGCGTAAGTGAATAGAACTTACTGCGTCTCCGTGATAGGGATGCACCAAATACACACGGATTAATAAATGGAGGCTGCGTAATGATAATGAAATCCCATTTATCATGTAGTATTTCGAATAGAAAGGAGCCGTTTCTTAATAATGAACGCAATTAAGGAAAACACGAATGAGACGGAAATTTACTTCCGTGAACGGAAACCCGATTCTGACTATGGATTGGAATTTTCCGGAAAATGAGAAGAAGGCTTCATTACTCACTTTAGTCGGACGGATGGATTCTGAGGTTTTTTCGAAACAGCATGTTTACGTTAAAAAATAGGAGACATGGTTTCCGCTATGAATCGGAATCCCCTCATCCGTACGTTATACGGAAACCATGTTTAAGATGCCTTAGTCGGAATTATTTTTTACAGTGTGTTAGAAAGTTGTTCTTCAGGGGCTGATCGCTTAAATCGTATGTTTAAAAATGGCGGTGATCATTAACGTGATGAAAATCACGTGGTTGGTAAAGAATTGAATAGAGAATCTTTGGAAAAAAATTTTCAAGTCGAAGCGACGAATAAAGAACGATATATATTGACGGAATACTAACACCGCCATTTATTCTGCCGCACCTGTTACTTCAGAGCATTCCACTCTCTAGCAAAGTTTTATTCCAACTGAAGCGAATCTTCCAGACTTACCCAAGCTGGATGGGGGGATCCATGCATCCCGCATCACAGGCCCAATATTCTCGATCTTTGCGATCCAGGCTGGCATGAAGAACGGCAACGTTGTCGTCTCCAACCACCACGCTGATGTTCACATGCGTCCCGTTTCCATAATTGATGCGCCTAATTGTCAATATGAATCCTGTCACCAACATAATTTATCGAACAAAGGAATGCAGGGAAAAAACACATTTCACACAGGCGATGGTTTTCTCTTTTTCCAAAATGCATTCTTGGGGATACGAGAAATGTACAAGGCGCATTGACCGTTCTGGCACCCTAAGAAATGGAGAAGCACACGGGAAATTCCTTTTTTCCCCCCCCCCCCCCAAAAAAAAAACAGGAAGAAAAAACAACGATTCATTGGCACCAGTCAATTGCTTGCTAGGTCTATCAGAAGGTAGAGAAAAAGAGAACATTTCCAGTTCTAAATCATTGGACTGGGGCAATCGGCAAACCTAAATTCTGACTCCTCTGACTGATACGCCTCCAGATCCGTTGCTTGAAGGCAGGATTTAAACTGAATATTTACGGTCGTATCAAATTCCTTGAAATTCACTTTTTTAAATGAGAAAGTACTCTATTTTTCACTTATGAAAAAAGCTATACTTCGACCGGCCAAAGAGAGTAGTTTCTCCAGATTTTAAGGAGCGCATATATATAGTACTTATTTAAAGCCGTCCTTAGGCTCACAATTTGTTCCCACTTGACAGACTCCAGTGTGTGCTTAGAGCAGTGCTTCCCAAACGGTGTGCCGCCAGTAAGGCTTAAGTGTGCCATGAGATTTCAGAGTTGACAAAAAAAAAACTAAAAAACTAAAAATAAAAAAAAAACTTAAAAAGAAGAGGGAACACCATCTCTCAGTGGAAAACGAGCTGAGAGTTGCACTATCACGCCTCGTATCAAACTGCTGTGTTCAGCGTGGCACGCACAAGTTTCCCATTGAAAGTAAGTAAATGGCTGGGTGTGCCGTGTAAAGTTCAAGTGTCCTTATGTGTGCTGCAAATAAAAAAAGATTGGGAACCACTGGCTTAGAGCACCCACAAACACATATGTCCAAACACAAATGTTCGGCATGACTAGTCACCATTAGATTGCTATCACAGCAGATGCATCTGCATGTCATGAGTCTTGCAGACTCCAAAAAACACTTCTACAAAATATCACTTTGGCTCAAAATCCATAAGGTATTCGTATGCGAGGAGTAGCATACCTTTTTTTTCATCTTTCCCCTAGTGAGAGACTGCTATCTTCGGCAGAATTAAATAGAGAGTGATTAACAGAAAATATGGTCCCATTTAAGATGCCATGCCCCATGGAGTCAATTTCCTGCATGAAGATTATTGCGGCTCGAGATGAGCATAAATACATTGATGAAATATAAATTTGAATCTGCATGTCAGATTCAGGCACGTAGGGTAAGATGAAACATTACAACACGTGAATTTGCAGGCAGGTTAGCAATGGCAGAGCTAGCGTAGAGTCCGATGGAAAAAGATGATGCCTGCATCTAGAGAGAGCTATTGACATGATAAAAAGTCACCTTAACTATAAACCAAGATTAAGTTGAGTTACTTTGGTAGTCCATGAGTAGTTGTGAAACAAAAAAAATCAGACATAAACAGCTAAAAAATATTTAAGGGTTACCTGTATTTGCAATTTTCTCGCACAACCTTGGTCAACATAATTGCTCGCATATTCATGATACAATACATTAAAAATTTTCGATAATGTGATGGGTTGACGGGAAACCTGCATTGTAGATGAACATGCACAACATAAAGAGTACCATGGACATGCAGAGGTCTGTATTAGAGATGAGTCTTGGTTCAGCTTCAAGAGTGATTCTCAGCATGTTCACGTGTTGTGGGATCCAGGAAGTTGCTACTGTCTGACCCAATGGCGGCTCGTGATATTTAGCGCTAATAATTCGTCTAAGGAGGGGGAGTAGGCAGCACCCTCCCCTGCCTACATAGACGAACCACTAGCGCTAAATATCACCAGCCGCCACTGGTGTGACCTCTGTAACAGGAAGGGGTTCTATGGTGGTAGTATGGTCTTGCTACAAACAGCATCAACAAAGATGGCTAATAAAGGCCTCCATACATTCATGACGGCATAGCAGGATAGAGAAGCAGGGATACGATATTGCAACCCATCCTTCAACCCCATGCAGAGGCTATTGGATTCAGTTTAACTATGATGATAATACCCATCCAAATCGTGCCAAATCGGTGGATGAACTCTTGGCGACTGAAGGTATTGCACGCATGGACAGTAGGGTGGTCCAAAAAAACTATTTCTTAAATATTCAATTCTTACCCTCCCATCCTTGTACATATCCCAAAGGATTGCTTGCAAGGCTTGCAAATTTTCGACTCTATCGGTTTAAATTTAGAGGTAGCTCAACGAACTTCAAGTTTCAGGACGATCGCCCTTGTATGAGATCCAATATCTAGAACGTCACCAATGATCTATAATGTTTCGCTAATTTTTTTTGGCTCATGCAATAATGTTTGATGCAATTTTTTTTTTCTCCCTTATTCTATTGCAAAATGAGTGAAAAGAAGAGGCAGGGTTCCAAAGACCTGAAGTAATTCTGAAATTGGCTCCTTGGACAGTCTTTGAGAGAGGTTCTTGAAGATAAATTGCCATCAATGTTAAAAGCACTTAAACTATTTTCTACTTCCTCAATCAAAGAGAAATCAAAGGAGAAATTCATGAAAGCGCAACAAACTGCTTGAGAAGTTTTAAAGTTTTTGGAAAGAGCAAGAATAACAAAAAAAGAACAAAATTTTATTTTAAAAATTGAAAGCCAGGTTTTCATGTCTAGATTCTGCATCAGCCCCAATTAACAATCTCAACATGCTGAAGACTTGAGACATACAAATCTGAGAACGAGAAGGTCACAAAGGTTGTCATAAGGCTGCCATAAGTAAGAACCATTAATAACATTGTGCTTATTCTCGAATGAAGTGACCGATGCAGAGGAAAATGATCTGCTATAAAAGATTTGGAAGGTATATATTTTTCCTTTGCATCTATCAATTAAATCTATCTACCTATCAAATGTTTTGGAGGAAATGAAAGAAGAAAAAAGAAGTGGCTTAAAATGGACTGATCGTGTGAAAAATATAACAAAGGAGAGATTTCATGTCCCCACTCTCAATGTTCTTATTTATCGTAGTCGATACTGATCAATGGTTTTTACCTGAGCCGCCTTCTACATGGATTGACGCTGAACAGTACATGAGTGCGGTTAGAAAAAATAAAGAGTTCGAAGGTTTCGTCAATCATTACGCTGAACGGGCAGTGAAGTTGATCCTTGACAGGGACAAAATCACCACCAAATATGACGAACAGAAACAATACCTTCTCCAAGTATTTTTTAAGCAGCATTGAAAATTTTCGAAACAAGCAAAAATTCAACAACAGAAGCATGGAGAAACTAGGCGACAATAACAGTTCGCACCTGTGAACCCCGATGTGACGGTGGGAAAACGGCTAATAGTTGGGTGTGGCCCTAGCAAAGTGGATTCGTGACAACGGCTATAGCCATTTATGGCAGCGAATGTGTTAACGCAGCGGTTCTCAATCTTTCAGTACCAGCGGTACCCTTCTTGTTCAACAAGACACTGGCGGCACCCCTACAAAGTACCATGGACTGCCAGAACTAATTAATGTTTGCCTAAATGTAAATTCTGAAATCCAGAACCTCAATATTTATTCATGAAAATATTTCTTATTAGGTATCACTATCAAGACACTCACATCGAGAAGATCCACTTAAACTCTAATTTTGGGCATATTGCGCCTCGGTGTGATACAAGTGCCTACCTCTGCCTACAGAGACAATTCAGGCGTGACTCAATTTTCAAGACGACAACTCTTCACTATGTATCACGCCCTGCGGACTGCCGCACCAACAACTTGTGTAACAAAGAAGCCAAGGCAAAGATAGCTAACATCATATTTCGGCACTTTGACTTTCCTCTGGGCTTGCTTCCCAATGGCGCGCTTTTTGTCAATACAGCCACTCTCCGATTTACGTCGGGGATGCGTTCTTAGAAACGGCGACGTATATCGAAATGACGTAAATGGGAAATGTTTTTCCCATAGACTTAGTGTTACAATGGGGGATGCGTTCCCGGGGTCAAATTTTCGGACTCGCTAACCTAACTTAAGCCTAACGTAACTAGAGACAAAAATTAAACAAATTAATATTAAGAAACGAGAAAGCAATTAAAATATATAGGCAATTATAATTCATTTATCATTATCATGCACGTTTTAAAAAGCCAATGATAGAAGTCTGAAGAGCCTTTTGCTTCTTGTTTTGATACAGCTCGACGTTGACGTCGTTTCGAGTCGCCCTGACGGGCCGATGTTTTGCCGATCCACTCAACACGACGTTAAATAGGACAAGAACGACATTAAAAGAAATTGTTCCCCAATTAGTTCATGACGTTATGGCGAACAACGCAAATCGTAACGACGTAAATAGGAGAATTCCTGTATTACAATTAAGGATGGAAAAAAAGTTATTTTACGTCGGAGTAATGCTCCGACGTAAAATAACATTCTTGATTATAACTATCACAGTGGAAAGTGATGCTGCTGGATCTGAAACAATCTGAAAATACCAGAGAGGGAGAGAAAGAGGAAGAGAGGCAAGATATCTGATTTTTGATGCATGAAACAGAAACCATCGCAGAGGGACAACTACATAGCTTCAGCACCTTGGAACACAGCACAACTGAACCAATACACTGACTGGAAGAATCATGTTCTATTTTAGCGAAATATACCAGTCACTTCGATTCTTCATGAAACTAAGCCTGTACAAATCGTACGACTGGAAAGGACACGATACTGCTGAAGATACACGTGATACAAAATCTCACAGGTTCCCACGTCTCTTGAACAGCACAGGTTGACTGAAAAGGATTTGGGATGGTGATTGGCATCGACAGGGGATTAAATTTCGATTACAGGAAAGAAGCTTTCCTTGAATCAGAGGGGGAAATCCGTGGCTAAGGGACATAGTTGCCCTTCTTGTCCTTATTAGGTGCTAAGTCTTGGAAAGGCTCCACGGCACCCTATCAGTCTCTCGCGGCACCTTCGGGTGCCGCGGCACACAGTTTGAGAACCGCTGTGTTAACGTATCTTGCTAGTGAGGATACTACCTATAGAACTAATAGATTCGGATTTAAACAGTGGCATTCCAAACCCAAATTTTTGGGTGGCAAGGCAGTGAATTGGGTAAAACCAAGCTTAGCAAGGTGCAAGGTGGTACGTGCCAAATAGCTCCCTACCTCAGTCAATGGGATGACTCCATATCATCCCTCTTAATACCCTGTAGTGAATGCAAGGTACTATCAACAATGAAGAAGCTAAACATACGACTGGGTTCCCTAAGGTACTTAAGATGGGTGTAAAAGTAAATAACAGAAAGAACATACCGTATTTACTCGTGCATGAGGCACTTTTTTTGCATATTTTATTGTGTTTGATGAGGGGGTGTGTCTTATACTTGAGGGAAAAATTATCCTTTTCAAGAATAATTTTTTTCAGCATACCTATATAACTCATTGGTCACTTATTGAGGTGGAAACAGTGTCTGCAGTTAGTCAGAACTGGGGAAATATAATATTATAATAGTAAAACAGTCAACAGGGAGAGGCTACGTCAATTCGTGGACTTCATTGGGTATTGGAATCGGAATCTGAGGTGTCTGGCAGAATGGAGAATTGATTCGTGGAGCTCTCATCTTCCTCTGAGAGGCCATTCTAAAAAACAAATCACTTCTCATGGAAATTTTTGAGCCGCTGAGGTTTTCTGACGAAGAGAAAATCCAGCTCACTTCATGAATCCTCAGTTCATCCTCATGATGCATTGAATTTTGGCTGGGAGATCCCATTTCCTCTTGCAATCGTATGGGTTTGCATCTCAATCACTCTAGTTTTACCCATAGACCATCCTTTTGAGACCAAAAACTGGCAAACAGTGCTAGAACGAAGCAGAATTTTTACACGGTATGCTTCATCGAGGATTCAGAAGTACAGTATGGATTCACTCTTTCATGGATTCGGCCACTTCCTTCTTGATAACCAGAAAAGAATCCCTTTTTCCTCAAGAAAGGCCATGAGATTCTTAAGTCAGGCTCAATTTCACCTTCACTTCCATCCGCTTCCGTATAGAGCTTTCCTCGATGTCATACATACGACCTATTGCACAAATGCCCAACTCCTTCGCTTCCTAAAGCACATTGATTTCTCTGCAGCTGTGTAACTTCGCTGTACGTTTCCATCATTTTCATGGATAATAAAACAAACGTTAGGGAAACTGTGTCCCCCCCTTGATAAAGGTCAGGACAGTGAATAAGAAATGAGGTTCGACCAGCTTTACCCCTCATGCATCTCCCTTGTCCAACACTTTTCGCTACGAAATAGGGGGATGCACTTTATACAAGGGGAATCTTTTTTTTCCCCACACATTAGGACCTCAAAAGCGGGGGTGCATCTTATACACAGTGGCCCACAATACTGAAGTAAATATCGTCTTGGAGGGGGAAAGGGGAGAACCTTCATCTCCCTCACATTGATTCAAGGAGAGCAACTCCAGTCTCCATTGTAATGCCTATGACTCAATGATGACCTACACTAGAGCACAGTCCAATTCCAGCCATATTTTCACTGTCTTAACACATTACTGGATACATTTTGTATCCGCCTTGTGAAAGCAAAAATCATGCCAGTCTCAGGCATTCTAGGGATGAAGCAGGTCATGGTGCATGGAATATGATTTTGAACTGAAAGTTTCACTAAAAATGTCAAATTTTCATCAATTAGAGGAAAGATTTGAGGGACAAATGTATATAGAAGGATTTCACCAACTAATGGATTTTGAGCCAAAGTTGCAACTAGGAACTTCAAACTAAACCTGAAGAAGTAATCTCGATGGAGGTCGTTGGGATGAGTGGAGAATTCTAGGTGATGGTTGGAGAATCGAAGAGCCCCAAAACTGAGAAGCATAGCCTGCTGGATCCCATCAGCACCTGCTCTGATCATATGGTGACATCCATTTTTCTCGAGAGTCATCACCCATATAGATGTCAGGCTCACACCTTCCTCCCATGTCTCTGATTTCTTCCATAAGCTCTCTGCTTGCCTATTTACATTAGACACAAATAGAGATAATAAACATTTTGGGCAAACCCAACCTAATAGCAGGTTTGAGTAAGTGGAAGTTCTTGTTTTAGCTTCGGAGAATAATGTCGCAGAACAATCTAAAGACGGGAGTTTCACAATTAAAATGACACCATAATGAAGTTTTTGTTTCAAATAGAAAAGAAGCTAATAGCAAAAATAGTCTCACAGTTCCAGTCCATATAGGCACCAGGAGCCAAATAGGTGACACTCAAATGCATAAATCTCGAGATTGGAGCGAGATAAAAAAAATCTCTGGAATTCATTTTCTTATAATCTATTCCTCTAGGGTAAGACCACCTAAGTTCGGACAGTACCTAAGTTCGGACATTGTTGCAAACATTGTTACAAAACTAAGCATTCGTGGGGCCGCCTTCAAAAATGGTTCTTCCCAACATGAGATGAACACGTCACTGAGCGAAGGAGAAGCGGTGGTCATGATGACTTTGCACAATTCCAAGATATTTGGCTTAGACAAATACTATATCTCGAACAGGAGGAATTTTTCAAGAAACCGTATGGAGGGAATCTTACTTTTAAAACGTTTCAAACGTGACACTGTTATTTTTTGCACTCAATTCTTACTTCCCAGGAAACTAGGACATGGAGTCCTGTTACGCAGAATGCACGTGCATTAATCAGATTATTGTCTTACTTTCGGTGTGTCCGAACTCAGGCCAAGAAATGCATGAGAAACATAAGTTCGGACATACATTTACGTGTGTCATATCCTCGTAAATATGATGTCCTCTTGAGATAAAGAACGTTTAAAGTTGACAAAAGGTCAGTTGTGGCATGTTTTTCAGAGAAAATGTATTTTGGAGCTCTGTCCCAACTTTCATAACGGGACATATAACTTCGGACACCGTCGAACACATGTGCAAAAAGTACAGCATCATATATTTATTTGCACATCTAAGTGTGCGACGCACCTCCAAAGCAGTCCAACCAAGGGATTATCGATCCGAGGCTGTTGAAAAAGCCATCAGGGCTTTAACTCGGGTGAGATGTCCTTCCGGAAGGCGAACATTGCTCACGATGAACACATCTGCTTGATAAAATTTTATTCTAGGAACCTCCAAATTCGGAGCGAGAATATGTCCCTGAAGTTGGATGTTTTCTGAATTAACCATGCAGAGCAATACTTGTCTACTGAATGTAACGAATTGTGCGTGTCCGGTCTGCTTTTAAGAAAGGAATTCCGAAAACATGACACTAATGAAAAGTATGTACCCAAGGGATTTTTCCAGAAATAAGTGACTGGAGAGCAACCTACGTACCAAATTCCGGGTTTCTATGTCTGCCACCGCCAAATTCATGCTCATTCAAGTAGCAAAACATATTTAAACATATGGCTCCCTCAAATGTACCCACAGAATATGTATCCCAAAAGTTGGATTTTCCCTTGTGTCTGAATACCAGCAGGTACCTATTAAGTAAGGTTTCATCCTTCTGTCTCCATGATTCCCTGGTAAAAAAAAAAAAAAAAAAATTGTGGAAAAGGTCCACCCGAAAAATATGCCCATGGGAAAGAATCCTAAAAGTAGCTTATTCCCCCTTTAAATCTGCATCTCAATAGGTACAGATGCATCAAGTTTCAGCTTCTATGTCTTTCCGTTTCGTTGGAGCAATAAAATGTTCGGAGAAACATGTCTCATAGAAACAGTACCTGAAATCCGCATCATCAGAGTTGTTCGTGTATGAAGTTAGAACGTTCAATCTCATCTAGATTATGGTTGGAATTAAAGTCAGACTCTCACTCACTCAATCACAATTGTCTCATTCTATTAATAGAAAATAAAAGATCCAATACTTCGGGAGCGGGTTAGTATTCCTTCACACCAAAATGAAGTGAAGTCTCTGTGAGACTTAAAAAAGGGGGTGTCCGAACTAAGGTGAAAGTGTCCGAACTTAATTTTTTCCGCTTCTAAGTTCGGACATCCACATCATAAGCAATATCGGTTGTCATAAGGCTAGGAAGGACAGCATCTTTGTTGCACTCATACCTCATCGTGTCGAGCTCCCGGGAGCAAAAAATGAAGCTTCCAGCCTGAACCGTTGATATAGGACGAACGAATGATGAGATCGGGGAGGCTTACCTGTTCGAACATTGGTGGTTTTACCCTACAAGCATTTTGTCAAAATCGAAGATGGTTGAGCTCATCCTCTGGTCGGTTTGGTGTGAAGTGACCCAAGAGTCAAGAAATGTTACACTAATTATGACTCTTTTTCAGTCGTTTCTTCCGAAGTATCTTTCGCCCCACACTAATATACCAAACTGCTCAGGAGGAGCAGACAAATCGATTGATACCATATACGGCACCAAAAAAAAAGTAAGTGACTTTTGAATCGCCCTGTATAATAATCGCACTGCTACCCAAGATCATGCCTCAAGCACTAACAGGTATAAAACTGGACATAAGGAATGACCTTGAGGATACAGTGCATAACATGGGAGATAACTCTTCCATAATTCTTCCTCATTTGAGAAACAAAGCCTGAAAGTGGTACTGCAATGTTTCTGGATTTAATTTGTACCACCCTCTTTAGTAGAGATGGAGAAAACACAAATTTCCAGAGATTCCACTTAATCAGGTGATAGACAAAGGGTGACAAGCACCAGTTCCGTTTAAGCTAAACTAATCTGATTTCACAATGGTTTCCTATGGGAATCAGTTTAACAGAGATAAACTTATTCCCATAGACGCCCATTATGAAAACGAATCAGTTTAAAGTTAAATGGATCTGGTGCATGTCACCCATAACCATCTATGTGTACGATGTCACTACCTGCAATCAATGAAAGTGCTCCCATAAGGGGGGTACGAATTCAATCTGGGACCAGTATAGATGAAAATGTCTTGGATAGTCTGTCCTGTGTGTGTCTTCAACATCACACACCAGCTGGAACTCATGAGAAATTCATGCTGGCAATGCTCTAGGTCGTGAAAGTGATTCAATGTACGAGTCCACAGAAGTGTGATCACATTGTGAAAACCTGAACTATCAACCCATTAATGTAAGGTGTAGTAGATATGCTACATCCAGGACCAAACATTTTTTTGAACAATTAACAACAGCAAAAAAATGCAATAATACAACAAAAAGTGCAACAATGAAATGTTTGAGCTTTTACCTTGTAAATTAGGGCAAGGAAATTTCCCCCTCCCCTCCTTTTTCCTGTGCTCTAGGACCTAAATGAAACCAAACAGAAATTTTTTGCTGAAAAATAAAAAATGATCCATTAACCTTTTAATTTAATTTATTAAAAAAACTGAAAAATTTTTATATTTCCTTATTCAAATTTGTAAGTTGAAGGACCTGAGATTTTATTGCTGTACTTCTTGTTGAAATTTTGCATTTATTTTTGTTATTTATTGTTTTAATTGAAATGTAGCATATCTGCTACACCATAATTTAAATAACCTTTCCATGCATGGCTCTTATAATTGGAAAACTGAAATAGCAGCTGGTGCACAAGGATTTGCATACAATCCACATATTTATGAGTTGGCATGTTGCATGGATGAACTTCCCTTTTGTGTAACTGAGTGGAAAGGCAGAAATGGTTATTATTGTCTGATAGTTCACAGTACCACTTTGGGGCTATTTGAACAACTTCTATAGGTTGGCATGCAATATTTAGTTCCTCCTGTGGAACTTAAAGAGGCTCCCTGTGGACAAGAAAATTTTGATATGAAAAACTTTCAATCTCTGGGGAGTATAATTACAGTAGAACTGGTTATAACCATCATCAAAGGGATCAGGAAAAATCATTATAACCGAGATTGCCTTTATTGACATTCCCATTTCCCATTTTCAAAATAGATGCTATATAACGTTACAACCCCAGTGTACATTGGTAATGCCACACTAGCTTCAGTTTCAGGATTGACCCACAAATCGTAATGTTTGCACTTCTTTGGACCTTGAACTACTTCATACTTTAGCAAGGCCTCATTGATGTCATCTTGACAGGTCTACAAAGTTTCTTGCTTTGTGACATATTCTTGTAAGCATGAATGAAGCTATCATGATTTTCCTAAATTGTGGGAACAGATGTCCATGTTTTTCAAGGGGGACTTTGTCTTTACTTCGAGCACTTTCTAATAAATTAATCATTCCATGCTTTCCTTTCAATTGTAAAGGCATGCCTTTTTTGCTTTCCACTGGCCATGTTGTCAATGAGAAATGTAATGGCGACTGAAAATAAGACGATCTTGTTAGTTACTGAGGATTATCCCTCCCTCACCCTCCACCAGCCACATTCACATGACTCTCAAGGAATGCCAATTCCAGGAAAGATAACATTATGGCTCACCAGTGCTCATTTTTCTTATGGTGGGAATTCCAGCTAAGAATGACAGATTGGGGACATCAATGTTGTCAATATCGTCAGCAGGACCTTGAATGGACTTCGTTATAACTGAGGTTCTCACTATACCCAAGTTCATTTTAACTGAGGTAAAATGTAACGCGACTTATGGGCTCTACACCTGGACCTGGCGTTTTTCGTTGTTATAACAGGTTTTGTTATAACTGAGTTCGACTGTAATTTCGAGTTTTCTTACTACTACATTAAATTCTGTTAATTCAAAAGCATAATTTTGTAAACAATTGCAACTTCCAGCGTCAGTGCTCCAGTAGTATGTAGGCCAGAGGTTTCCCAGTCAAGCACCTAACTCCTGGGCTGGAAAGCACAAGAGACTATACTTCATCCTCATTGAAACATTTTTAAATTCTTTACCCTGATGATGGTTGCTGTTGTGTTGAATGCTACTGGTGGACATACTAAATTTAAAAGACATGTCAACAAACTCATAATTGCACTACTTCCCTGATATAAAATTATTTTTTTTGCTGAAGTCATACAAGTTGGCTTCATGGGGTATCCCCTACCCCATGAAGCCAACTTGTGATTATGCGCTACTCTACATTAGCTGATTCAGGTAAAACTATGCAGCATTCAACTCAAGAGACTCCTATGAGAAACCACCTACAGTTCCTGGTATCAAAGGCAGGTGACTTCCTTTATTCATTGCATGCTGACACCTGTCTTGATGCAGAAATTCCTTCAATTATTGTGCCCCTGAGAAATCCTTCTTTTATGTAACTTTTCTCATATCCTTCCCACTTTTAACTTTTTTACTCACCTCATGACAACCCAACTGGGCAAGGGACTGAAAAGCTTTAAATTTTTTTAATGCATATTTGATCTATAAATTCATTTATGAGAAATTAGTCATGAAGCAGTGGAAGTGAAGCATTTACCCAGACATTGACAACTGAATTGGAACCACAGAAAATATTTGGGGTGGATTTTTTAACAAAGAACTATCTGATAATGCTGCATATTTCCAGGAAATAACATGTATTTTTCCTGGAATAAAGGTGCATTATTGAATAGCTCTCTGTTCAAAAATCTACCCTTAGTCATTATTACAGCTTATTACAGTCGATATTGGCATGAAAAATTTGAGGAAATATACAGGGCGAGTCAATAGTCACTGAACAACTTTGAACTCAGCAAGGAAGGCATTAATTTGCAAAAGGATTTTTGCATAGGAAAGAGTGTGCAATAATTAGCAAATATGCAATGTTGAAAAAAAACATTTATTTTTTGGTGTAAAAATGACTGTAATTATTGGCCATGGTAATGAGCACCATCAAGCTCAATCACACAAGCCATCACTGAAAGGCAACTCCAGAAATCTTCCCAGTGATGCAGTGCAATGATTGTGTGCAAATTTTGGCATATACCTGGTCTATAAATGAAACCCCACAGCCAGAAGTTGCGTGGAGTCAGGTCTGGTAACCCGGGAGGACACTCAATAGGCCTAACCCAGCCTATCCACTTGTATTCTAAGCAAAACGATGCTTTACTTCAGAAAGATTTCCTTCACAGATAGAGAATAAATTAATGATGGCAACACATTTCTCCAAGGAAATTTCATAGGCATTATCAGAAACCATTTGGAACAGCAAAAAGTAACAAACAATAATCGCAAATAGGGCATCTGCTGTCCCCTAAATACCACTTTTATGTTTAAAAATTTTGCTTTTTGTTTTGTGCATGCTCATCCTATTTCTTATTGGTATTTCATGCAAATGTCCATGTTTTTTTTTTGTCAATTAATGCTAGCTCCTTCATGTGCAAAAACCTTTTGCAAATTAATGCCTTCCTTGCTGAGTTAGAGCTGTTCAAAGTCATCCAGTGACTTTTGACTCACCCTGTATGTTGATTAGCCTACTGAATAACATTGACTGTTTTTATACAGAAATAACCTGGAAAAATGACCAGAAAATAATTAAGTATTAAAAGGCATAAAGTTCATCACTATTGAACTCACCACCAGAATGATAGTATGAAATACTGACACTGCTCCTTCTGCTATCCTAAACCAATGCCTACCTCCACCTTTTCATGATTCTTTTTAATTTTATGCTTTGAGGATCTGTAGACATTTCGCAAGTCACTGCCCATAAGCTATGAATTTTTCCATATTTACTCATGTAACCCTCTCACCTTTTTCCCCTGAAACTCCATCTAGTAAACTATGATATAGGGTGCTGAGAGTCTCTCCAACATTAGAATTAAAGTACCAGTACATTGTCATGAGGATACTGATTTTCCTCTCATTCAATGTTAGGATTGATATGGTACTTTGCACACAAGTGCAGAGTGCAACTCAGCTGGATCAGTTCCCACAGGCTTGATTCTTCAGCATGAAGGTCATTTTCCATGGACTAGAGTTTCCTGGGGGAGCACCCAGTCAGCAGGGCTGTTCCAGAAAACACATAGAAAGCAGTGTCTTTGTAGTTCACCTAGTTTAGCCTGAATTTCACTGGAACAGCCCATGCAAAATCACTTTTAACAAGGTGTAAGTTCATGTGGTTGATGAGCAAGGATTTTCCCCTCCCATTAGAAAGGCACTGAAAATTAGGGTGTTCTTCCTGTGTGAGGGACTACATGTGGGACTTATGTGTATCAATAACATAGCTTAGTCCTGCACTCACAGGCATTGGGCCAGCTTGCTACATAACATTTTTGGCCTGTTTCATCTCAATTGGTCACTGTCTAGCCCATGTAAGTCTGAAGACATAAGTTTGATTACTATGAAAGGAAATTTTTTTTAGTTACTGCAAACATGTCATATAATGGTAGTGGTACCTAAGTAGACAGACACATAGACAAGATGAGAAGGTAGTAGGCAATTTTTTTTTTTTTGGAAGAAGGCAGAAACTTGAATAAGGCCTGCCTTATGCAAAGATCATGACAAGTTCACTCACAGAGTTTGATGCCCTCCATAACATCCTTCAGTGTAATAGAGAGAGGGAGACCCCATAGAGGATGAATTGCCATGCAAGAGAGATGGAATGTGGGAGAGGATGAGATACATAGTTGCATTTATGGTATCTCCATTGAGTGCATTTCCAGCCCAAGAATAACTCAGGCTGAATCCAGATCTCCACAGTTTCTCCCATTCCAATGCATGAAGAGTCTGAAACTTCATTGCTGAAATCTGGATAATTTGATCCAATGTAGCCTCTACCTTCTTCTCCAAGGATGCCTTTATGCCATGAGCTTGGTTCCTTGTGCTTGCTTCAGAGTACTCTACCACGGTTAAAATGCGTACACTCTCTGAACCTCCACTCTTCACCTATTAAGATATCGTTTGAAATAGAGTTTGGAAAAATAATAATGATTTAGCGAAGGAGAGACTCACATGAAGTGTTGGGGGGACTTTGGAGGTAGCAATGGACACAGCCACAGGAAAGTCATCATCACCACCAACCAACCCACTGAGGATATGATACTCATGTTCCCCCTCCCCATGATTCTTCCTGTTAAGAATCAGCAGAGAAAAACATAAAGAGCTTTCCATTCCCTCCTCATGATGTTTGTCTGCTGACCCACCCACCGGATGGTACGGGTGTGGAGGTCATCCCATTTGGATATACCGATTTGGGAAAGATCAAGAGTGAGATCAATCCCAGTGGGGTTCAAGATCTTCACCTCCTGAACGAGGACAGATGGGAAGAGGCGATGGACATAAGAGACATACGTAACATCAGCCACTCCATCCCACACAGGGAAGCACTGGAATCGCTTCACCACACCTTGCTTATAAAGTACTATTATAGCTTCCCATGCAGTCACTCCTTCCACAGAGATCTGAACCAGTGGATGGAATGGAATCCTTTGTGACATGGTTTGATCCTTCTTCAAGTACAAGCTTGAGTCAAACCCTCGAAAATGAAGTCCCACTTGCCCACTCCCAGCTATGGGAAGGTAGGTCTTAGGTCCTGGGATCCCATAAAGTGACAATGGTTCCAGATCCTCAACCCTCCCACTGAGGTGGGCATCAAAATCCATGAGGGTCTTGGCATAAGGTTGAAGACGATCATAGATGCATCTTCTCCCTGGATCCTTGAGATCTAAGGTGTGATAGAGTAAAGAAACACCAAGGAAAACAATAATAGAACAAGGAGAGGAGGATTACACAAGACATCCCATCATAAGCTTACTGTGATGAGAGCCTCTGAGCATGAGATGATGCACAACATCAGGGATGACAAAGAAGAGGAGGCACAATCCCAGGAGCACAACAAAGAGGCTCCTTCGACTGTAAAGGCTCAAGAAGAGGGGCAAAATGAATGGCAATAGAACAACAAAGTACTTAACCAACAAAAGAACAATGTATGAAGACTCACTTGATAGTGGGAATGGACTCGAGGCATTTTCTCATCAATTTATGGTAGGTGTCTTGGAACATGACTCGGGGAAAGCCTCTCCTTCATCGTCTTGAGTCACGTGAGATCCATGGGATCCATCCTTTTCACCTCTTCATGGAAGGATCCTTGCAAACTGAGTCAATCAATTGGCTTGATAAGCAAACTCAATCCACCATAGAATACTGAGAGAAAACAAGAGAAAAGAGAGAGCAATGGCAAAATATGGGATGCACTACAACAGAGTCATCATGACTCAGGCAGAATTGGCAAAATCCAATTCTTCTGTAGTGTATGTGATTTCCTAATATAGTGACTGGGATAATGGAAACTAAAAAGAAAGAAGACTGAAAGCTGTGGGAAATTTTTCTTATGTCTTTCTCTCTCAGTAGTTGCACAAAAAAGGGTGAAACATTCAATCATCAATATAGTGGACCTGCAAGAGAGAAATAATTAAAAAATAAAGGAAAAGCACCACCACATGAAGGTCAGAGTCAAGGAGTCAGGATGAAGAGGTGTGACTGGTCTTGAGCTCCTGGAGTTCCCGAGTCACATCCTCGAGGTTCTGTTGCAAATGCATGTTTTTTGTCAGGGTTTCTTCCAAGAGGGTCTGCATCTTTTTGCAGTCCCTTTCACTGGGGGATGCATTTCCAGCTTTGAAGAATGTCTTCATGGCCCTACCTGGATCCCATTTCTTCCCACTGGATGATGAGGAAAATGAGGAAGACGTGTGGCCAAGACTCCCTAGTAGGACAAAAGAAAGCACAAATTATGGGCATCTGGAGAGCAAGGAAGAGTCAGAACCAGCACCAGAAAGTTTATTTCTCTTCACCTTGAGGACATCTCATCTCCATACAATAGAAGTGAATGAGGGCATTTTTTTCCAAAATTTCCTGTGCCATGGAAGAGGAGCTCTCCTCTAGGATCCGAACTCTCTCTTCAAGAATGGACTTCTCCTGCTGGAGCTTGCCCAATCGTACCAAGAGTCCTTGCTGTTCCACCTCAGAGAGTGTGGTGGTGCTAGGGGGTCCTAACTCCAGGGAAATACCACCATCCTAGACAGAGGGCAGGCATTCCTACCAATTAGTCCAGGGCAGGGATGGAAATCTTAGTAATCCAGATGGCACAGAAAAGTGGACAGAAATGATGGACATATGTAGGTGCCATGGTTAAAAAGAAGAAACTTTTGCCACCTCATGGTGGCAAAAGCAGGCATGGAACCAAGAGCAACTAGGTGAAGGATTAATAAAAAAATGTCACCTGAGTATCTCCACAGGTTGGGGAGGGAATGGTAGCACCATTGCCACTCACAAGGCTCCATGAAGAGATGCTTCTAGCATCTCCCTCAGCAATTGGTCCTTGTGTCCCAGCTGGGAGTGAGCCAGTGGCAGCAAGAACCTCTTGCAACTTCTCAGCCCGTTTCTTTTCAGCATGCAACTGTTTCTTCAAATCCCTCATCACACTGCTACTCTTTTTTTCCTGAATGCGTAATGCTTCATGACCATCTCCAAGTTGGGCCTGCAGTTCTTTCACCCGTTCTCCTAGTTCTTCCCGTTCAACACTCCCCATCTCTAGCTCCATCTTCAGTGACTGCAAGAAACAAATATCTTGCACTTCTCCAAGCTACTGTAACTCTGTTTCAAAAGAGCATATGCTGAGATCAAACAAAGCATAGCTTTTTTTTTTTCTTTGCTGGGGCAAAACCTCATGGTTTTTGGAAATTTGGGAAGGTAAGAATCTTACCTTCCCAAATTTCCTTCCTTCCCAAATTTCCTTCCTATTTTATCTTGAATCACCAACTTCAGAGCCATGTATGACTTTTAATACACTATTGTACTCTTCCCTTCTAGGTGCCTGTAGGTCTGGCATTCCAAAAGCCAATGTTAACAGCTCTTACAACTGAGTGTGAGTAGAGATGACTTTGATGAGCCAAAAAGCACAAAAAAGAGTCTCATTGTAGAAGCATGTCTGACTTTGGTTTGTTCTTGGGTGCTTAACTCACAGGTCCCCTGAGTCATGAATAGCATAAAAATGAAGCACACTTGAAAAAAATATAAAGTTTCATAGCAGAGGATGTCTTGAAATTTTATATCAGGCAGTAGTTCTCAAACTGGGGGGGGGGGGGGGGGGAGGATCCCCAAGGGGGGTGGGGGGGGGGGGGGGGGGGGGGGGGGGGGGGGCATGATCCCTAAAGGGGGCACAGTAGGTCATGAAGGTTTTCATTTTTTTTAAATTCTAATTTATTACAACCTGTAGCTTCAAAAACTACATCTTATATGGGTGGATTCCTTTATTTTTATTATTGAAAAATGCTCATGTTCCTACTCAGCCTTGTGAAAACATCAAAGGAAAGCAGGGTCAGGGAAGGGAAACACTCCAAGAAGGATATCTGAATATCCTCCTCTCACCAGTGGATTCATGTCATGAGAGTGAGAATAAGGATTTTCTTACATTTATTTCTCTCTCATATTCTTCAGTGAGACCAGAGATCTTTTGCAAATGCTCCTCTTCCAATCTTTTCTTTTCAATGGCATGAAGAGAGACAAGATGATCATATTCCTTATGAACATCTTCCAATTTGATCTTCATCTTTTCCATTTCAGTCTTCATTTCTCCTTGTAGCTCTTCCATTGTTTTGCAATCCTCCCTCCATCTTTCCATTTGGGTTTTCTCCTCCTGCAAAGCAGTTCAGGCTTAAGAGCTGCTTCTACCTTTGGATAATTTATTTTAAATATGACTTTGCAAACCTGTGAGGATCGAAGGCACTCTTCAAGATGATGAACGTTATCTTGTAGATGATTTCTTTCGGCCACAGCATCTTCCCTCATCTTTTGCATTTCTTTGGCCATTTCATCCATTAGTTGCTTCCTCTTTTCTGCCAACTGAAAAATTGCATGTATGCAGTTCCACTACATCAAGCAGTTTCTGTAAAAATACACACCTGGAGTACTCTGCTGCATCACCAGAACAGCAATGATTAATGTTGGCAGAAAATAATGTGAACATGGAGGAGAGTCACAACAGATCGGTGCAGACAAAAACTTAATTAAACATGGATTAAAGTAAAGAGGAAAAACTGGCAATAATGTAAAAAAAATTCAGACAAAGGATGATAGATCCTCATTAACTCTAAGAAGCACATTAATGTGCTTAAAAAAATAAGTGCATGTTTAATTCAGGCATTAAGTGATTATATTGGATGAAGAAAGCACATGAATTAACTTAATAATTATTGTCCACACTAATGTCAACCACTTAATCAATATGTGATGGTAGTTAGTGCAGCTAACTTCTATGCATGTAGAGAGGAAAAAGTCCCAGAAAGTTGGTCTACATTAGCAACCACCAGGCCTGAGAGAGTTAAAAGGGCCATGGAAGAATGAAGTCAACAAGGTACAATGTCTACAACTTAATTTCATATGTGCATGACCATGGAAATGTATTGAGATAAAAGGTGTCTTCAACTGCCAGCTAATAGCAGAGTAATGAGAAATAGATCAAATTTCTTCTATATTCTCCAATTATACATTTCAGATGCTGATTTCTGAGCAACATAAGAAAGATTATATCTAGGATTCTGCTTAAGCTTTTAAGCAATTATCTACTTGCATCCCAAAAATGGGCCATTTGAAAACTGCATCCTGGTGATATTGTGACAATGCCAATGGTGTTGCACGGCTCTACCCATGTTCTTTGGCTATGTTCTAAGCCTCTAATGGTGATACAGAAAAGATTCACATAAACATACCATCCATTAAGGAGTTCAAAATACTACACGGCTTAGGATGGCCAATCAAAGGTGACCCTAATATAATCAAGGCTGAAATATCTGTTTTGAACATTGCAAAAATATTTCAGAAGGTAATTCACATGCTCATAAACCTGAAATGAGTGATGAAGACTTTGATTTTGGTGATAAAGATCTGGGAATAAAAAATTTTCCAGCATCCTTGCTCCTCAGGGAAGCACCAGCTGAATTCCGAACATACATTTCAACAGTTCAAATTGATGTAAGAAAATTCCTAGGTCTATGTGGCAGAGTAAAGATTTATTACAGCACAATATTCTAGCACTGGGCATTAAATATCCAATTTTCTGTTCTGTTCCAGACACATAAGACGCAGTTGATAATGGAGAAATCTTTGAAGTCAGTGATTCTGACACAGTTGAGAACATTGATTTTGCTCCAGTTGCTCTGGGGAAGAGGAAGCATACAGTGACCACGGCGACACTAGTTGTGCATAAGTGGACCAAAAAAGAACTACCAACCGAACATATTGCCAAATTTGGCTCTTTTGTTGAGCTTAACCTCCCTTAATAGTCTATGGATCTGTTCCCAATTACCATTTTTGAAATACTTAGTACAATTATGATGATGTCCGTACTTATCTCTGTGAACAATCAGTGACCTGTGCACATAGGAAGGGCAATCATATCTACAAAGTTTTCCTCATGAAATACAGTTGTTCCTAGCTATTCTAATCTTAACTGGTTATGCATCCTTGCTGCAGCATCATATGTACATTTTCCTGATGAGGCTAATGGACTACTCCAGCATATCATGCAACTGCTTTGAGGAAATAATGAAATATTTTCATTTAGCTGATAACAACAAACTGGAAAAAGATGAAAAACTATCTCAAGTAGAGTCATTGTCAACCCTTCTGAATGAGAGGTTCTTCCAGTTCTTCCCAGTGTAAGAGCATCTACATGCTGATGAGACAATGACTCCTTATTACAGGCATCATTTAGCAATGTAATCCGACAGAGAGAAGCCAATTCAGTTTTGATTTAAGATTAGTGCTTGAATACAGTGGGTTGTTTGGTTGCTATGGTAATGGACTAACAAGATGTTCATGGGTTGACTTATATTTTCTGCACCACCACAAATTAATGCTCCTGGATACTAGCAATAGTCTGACATCTCATTCTCCATTCCCAGAGGCTCCTCCTTAGTACATCTAGAGGTATCTTCTCCCACTCTTCCTTGCAAGCTTTCCAGAGTCCATGTCCCCTTTGACTGCCTTCTTTCCAAGCAACTCTTGTGAAGGCCAAACCCCAAAAAATCCATGGATAATACATTGGAAGACTTGACAGATGTCTGAAAATGGAATGGCACAAATCTGAATCATCTCCTCCATCTTCTTGAGGAAAGTTCTTGTTGAAGCAGAAGTGTGACTGGAGGCATTGCCTTGATGCACCTCAATGAGAGTGGCGGCAGTCCCCGATATTTGTTGATAATACAATTGATAGTTTCCATGGACACTCCAACTTTCTTTGCCATGAACCTTTGGGTTGGTGGATTCTCTTGGGTTTCCATCTGTCAGACTTTGTTGAAGATGGTCTAGGTGCACTTCAGAAGTGGCTGAGACATACCTGATTTTTGGCTCTTTCATCAAATCCCAGTTCAAGCTTTCCCAACTGTGTTCAGAACATTGTGGATCCCTATCACTGAGAGGCTCAAGCCTTTCTTCTTGCACTGCTTCACAATGGCATAATATGAATAGTTAACATCAGGAATCGCAGTAATATAGCCTTCCCAACAATGATAGACTTTTGGAGGCATTTTGCTTCATTGACAACTTCATTGACAAGAAACAAACTTGCTAATAACAATATATACAGGGTGTTTATCAATTCCTTGTGCAACTTTAAAATGTAATAACTTTGGATGTATACATCATAGAAGCAAACTGTCAACGGCATATGAAAGCATAAGAATTAAAGTTTTTTTTTTACATACCAAGTATACATTTCTATGCCTCTACATGACTGCCATATTTCATGATATATCATTCAAACAGATTTTTTAAAAGCTTAAAAACATTTTCCAGTTGTTGCAGAGTGATGTCATGAATTGCATTTGTGATCATGGCTAAAATCTCATCCTAAGAATGTTGCTTTTATGAGAAAATAACACTTTTAGCATGGCCCAAACATAGTCCAGTGAGACACTTGTTTAGTGAACAAGGTGGCCAAGGAATTTGTCCAAATGTGGGACAGTTCCAAGATGAAGTTTTCTCAGCCAAGTGGTTTGGTGGAAGTGGACCAATTGCTTGACCCCCTCATTCACCTGACTTGTTCCCATTAGTCTACATTTTATGAAGCCATGTTATAAGTGTCTTTTACTCATCAAAACATTATTAGAAATAACGTTTGGCCAAGATCATAAATGCAATTCATGGAATCATTCAGGGACAACTGAAAAAGGTTTTTAAACTTTTGGAATATTGAATTGAATGATATATCATGAAATATGCCTACTATGTAGAGGCATAGAAATGTATACTTAGTATGTAAAAAAAAACATTCATAATTATTAATTTATAATTATAAGCCATTGACAGTTGTACATTTAAAGTGTACATTTAAAGACATTAAATTTTAAAGTTGCACAAGGACTTTATAAACACCTGCATATCCAGGCTGTAAGTCCCTAGGCAAAGAAAACTTCCACCAGGAAAGGCATACTGCTATATGAAAGTTGTTACCATAGGAACCAAACAACCATTTGCACTCCTGGAGGCAACCTTGTTCAATCTGAACCATATTGTGGAAATGTAAGCCTATCAATCCAGAATTGGGACTTTCCTGATCTTAGGTTAAGAATCTCATTATTGAGTTACCTTCAATTTGGGTTCAAACTATACTTTGATAATTACTTCATTTCATTAAAGTTGATCAGCAACCTGTCAAGACCTCAGATAGGACGACTGTGAACAATTTGAGTAAATTGAACTGAGACACTAGGAAACGAGGGGCCAATATGATATCATCATGACTCATGTGAATTGTTGCTCTGTCCAAGAGGAAAAAAATATTAAAATTCCATAACCTACTATCTTATATACATAGACAATTGCGACTGAGTGAGTGAGTGACTGACGCTAATTCTAACCATGTTCAAGAGAAGTTAGAAATCTGAAGCTTGGTACACAAGTAGCTATTGGGATGCAGAGTTCTGAAAAAATCAGACTTTGGAGGAACATGCCATGGGGGCACACATTTTGGGGTGAGATATTTTCAAAGAAATGTTTTTGCTTCAGTCAAACTGAGAGACATGGAAAGTTGAAACTTGACATAAATGAACATGCCTACTGAGACACAGTTCAGGAAAAATGTCAAGTTTCAGATGCTTCCCTTGGGGGCATATTTTCAGGGGTTCGCATTTCAAAGATTGCTTTTTTGCCATAGTGAATTTGGCAGAAATAGAAAGTGAAATAGTCTGGAATGACCCATACACTAGCCATTCAAGGTTATGGAATGTCAGCTCTATTCTCCTATTTTAGGGGCTGAGGCTAGTTTATGTTTTGGGCTAGATGCCACAAAGCTTTCCTGCCTAGAATGATATGAATGAAGATTGAGCAATCAATCCCTCACCATTATTCTAAGATATTCCTATCCATCAAAAGATATATAAGCCTGGCAATAACTTCCTTAGTTACTTATAGATACATTGCTCCCACTGTGACTGCATATACAGTATACATGGTCTGCTATAAATGATTCAATAGATTATGCCTGCATTTAAATGTTTTCAAATGTACCACTGGGCAATGCCATCACATTTACATAATTTCTTTCAGAATTGTCAGTGAGTTTACATTGTTCTACAAATTCTTGACTAAAAAAGTCCACTTTTAACAATATAAATCAGGCTGAGGGACAAGCCCCACAATATTTAATACAGTGCTTAACATGTTGACTTTCATGTGACACAACAATGTATTAAAAATAACACCAAGCCTTGTCCTTAGCAGTCAAAATGTTAAAAATATTAATAATCTGAAATGCCTTGATGAGATTCCCCCACATGTACCATTACTCCAGAAAATACAGGGCTGTATTCATATCTCTCCCTTAGCTAAGGGATCCTTTAAGAGTTAGGGGACCCCTAGCTAAGGGTTCCCTAAAAGATGATGACTGAAAAGGCTTGAAAATAAGGGTCCCCTAGGGGTACAGTATTCACGTTCTTCCCTTAGCTAGGGAATCCCTAAACGTACCCCTAAGAGATATAGGAAGTTGTAAAGAAGTTAGGGGAGCCTTCAGCCACTCTTAGCAGGTTCCTGCAAATTCGTTGCAGTCTTCCGGAGAGCAGCATTCCCTTGTCAGGTTCATGTCTTTGCATTTGGATATTGATATTGGATTCAGAGAATTTTTTTACCTGTTCATATAGATCAGTGGTCCTCAAACTTTTTCAGGCGAGGGCCTCAGGGACACTTTACTCCACCTTGAGTGGGCCACGCTTAAAACGTTAGTCAACCTGGAGTAAGCCGCATTAAAAAAGATCCACAATCTCTGCATCAATAACCCTTTATTTGTCCATCGACCTCTTGGTCAAGTTGCTTAAAATGGGAAGTGCCATTTTGAAAATGGGGAGAAAAAAAACCCCTGCCTATTCCTGTTGTATCCACACACACTTTCAACTCTTTAGTCATAAAAACTGTCACTACTCAGGGCTCGTATAAAGGCATCAGTTCTAGGTGCTGCTTTGTCACAAGTTGAATTTTCGATAAATACTCCTTTTTTTCTCATAAACTTCACCATTTACTTGCAAGGTAAGACACTTCTCCACAGTAGAGAGATGCTCCGAATTTCAGACAAGTTCAGCAGGTGCACACCTAAATACATAAGCATCTAATTGTAAATATGTATTACAAGTATTTGAATATCTAAACAATGACTAAACTTGCCAGTTTACAGCAAAGGATTCCAAATCTGGGATTTAAAAAATTGTTCATCACGATTATTCATGAGTGCCGATAAAATGGCAAAATGTGAAAAAGTCAACTATTAGTTCATCTTAGTGAGCCACTTTTTGAATACCACTGATATAGATAATGCTCTTGTATTATTTTATCATTTGATTGACACTCCTGTCATGCATGTTCCATCAATGATCATCGATGCAGCATTGATGTAAAAGTACAACTCTAACTTTAAAATTGAATATAAATAATTTGTTTTGCATTACCTTTGAGTACCCACTTGGGCCTAGGCTGGTACTCAAGCCAATGGGAAGAAAATCATTGCAATGTAATCTTTTAGATGAAACAATGAGAGTTCATGAGATCAATTGCAATTTTTTAAATACGAGTAGGACACATTTTCATTTGACCTTGGCACTAATTCATGGGAAGTACTATAACTGGGTATCATAGCCATCAAAAAGTGTCAGACTCGAGAAAAAAAGCAACAATTAATTTATGAGCAGAGATCCCTTGACTTCTGTGTGTGATGAGAAGGCCACCAAGATGAAAGCATTCCAGCGCATGCACCCTCTCCTCCATCTTCCTAAAGGATTCCCTAACTGTTAGGATATACTGTTCCTGGGAGAGTGACGTAAATATGGGCCTTGTTGCAAACTCTGTATTAACAGCTGCTGATCTGTTATTATTTTAAAAGAATTTCATCAAAACTATATTCAGCAAAAGGCAAACCAAAGATTGCACTAAATGTTTAGTATGACCTGCATGGCATGCAAACAGCAGAATGAAGGCATCTCCTCCACTAAACTACCAGCAAGTGCTCAAGTCCACTGCAATGATTTCCAACTTCTTTTAAATATGACTAATAGCCTTGACTCGCCACGAAGCATTTCAATGAAATCCCACAATGCTCTTGAAAACTTACTGGCCTAGGTTCAGTGCAATTTTCTTGGTAATAGCTATAATCAGAGCAGAGATATTTTCTCAAATTGGAGTAGGAAATATAGTTTTTTATCTGTGACTTCTATATAGCAGCAGCAAGTTTCACTCAACGTCATCCTTCAAGTGGACAACGTGAATAAAAGGACTAATTGATTTTTAGGGGAGATTTTTATCCTTAGATGCTCTCAAAAGTGATGAAATGCCATGAGAAAAATCTATGAATGATGTGCTGCCAGAGATAAAGTGCATTTAACACGCAAGCTTCTAGAAGAAAAACTGGAAGCTCCCCTATCTTCTACTACTAGAGTTGGGTTTAAGGATCCCTTAGCTAGGGAGGAACGTGAATACAAAACATCTAGGGGATTCCTAACTCTCTTGAGTTAGGGGTCCCTTAACAGTTAGGGGAGCAACATGAATACAGGCCACAGTCCCAATGTGTATCAACATCATTCATAAGGAAGTCCTCATACTTCCCTTATAATTTTAGCAACCTACCTTGTCCTTATCAATTTCACACATAAAAATCATATGGTGAGAAAATAAAAGTAATAACTATTGAGACTCACAGAAGAAAGTCTTGATACTTGGGTTTGAAAGTCTTTGGAGTCCAAAATGGCCCTATCTCTTTCCTCTGTTAATTGCTCCAGCTCAGCCTGTTGTGACTTGAGTTGACTTTCCTTCTCTTCCAATGCTTTCTTCATACTTGCATTTCTTTCCTCTGCTTCTTGCAAATGGGATTCCTGCATCAGTCTCTTGGCTTCAAGATCACGAACTTGTTCTTCCATGACTTCCTGCAAACAAGCACCATCTTGGCAAAAAGTGTAATTCACTTATTACTAACTGAGAAAAGAACTCACATGATCTTTTATGCCCTCCAACTTTCGGTTCTGTTCTGCCAAAGTAGCCAGCTTGGAACTCAACTGATTTTGGAGTCTTTCACACATTCCCTTCAATTGGACTATCTCCTTTTCCTTCTCCTCCAACCTGTTCCTAAAACATTTATAATGCCAACTCTAAGTAGTAACTTTGCCTTGATACATAGTCTCTCATACTGGGAGAGGCAAAAAGAAAAGGACCTGCTCATTAGAAAACCCCCATGCTCAAATCCATTTCAGATCTTTGTGCTTTTACACACTTGGTGAACAACCTTTCAATTGTTCAAGGCACTGCTTCCAACATCTACAGTACTTATCAAAGTCTCCCATCCCTGTAACTTCATTAGACTAGTTGATGAAGTGATGATTATTTTATGGTATTTATGTACACAGGATCCCCCATTCACTAATGCAAGATCAAATCATTCCAACTTTCAAAGACTTCAGAAACACAAGTTTTCATACTTTGTACAAGTCCTACAGTTAAGTCCATTGGGAGTACTTTCCACTCTCATCTGAATGCTGACACCAGGGGCCAATTAGTTCTGAGTTTTTTGTTTGCAACCACATCATGAGCAGTTTCCATGCAATTTCAATAGGGTTGAGATCAGTAATGTGGCTGGCTGATCAAGTTTTTCAACCCCATTTCTCCATTTCAGCTTTCCACTTAGTTGCCAGCTTCAACTTGCACTTCAGTTCAATGTCTTTCTGCAGTCTCCACAATGCCAATCTTGAACCAAATTGGTCCCTGGCAGTCAGCAAGAAGCTGTGTTTGTACAAGGTGGTTTAGGTGAAGTGTAACAAACCAAACTGCAAATTTTTTTAGAAATAGCGTGGTTTATTTACCTGAAATTTGCACAGCATGTTCCTGACATAATGGACCAGACATGGCATAAGTTTCACTCAAAGTGGTCACCTTCGACCTTGATTATGGCCCTTAACTCTTCTCAAAGTTGTTGATGCTGTTCCTCACCACTTTCATTGGAATTTTGTCCTAAATACGTGGTATGTACCAAATCTTGTCTGAGATGATCCAGATTGTGGTGGGGCTTGGAACAGGCCTTAGACTCAAGGATTGACCAAATAGCACAGTCAAGAGGGTTTAGACTGGAGATGATGGAGGCCACTCCTCCTTGGTCAAGAACCTTGGCAAATTTTACCAACACCAGCCCTGGGTCACATTAGCCATATGAGATGTTGCTCCATCCTGCTGGAATGTCCAAGGCTCATCCCCAAACAGATCTTGAACCCAGGGGAGCAATGCATCCTGCAGGATGGATTTTATGTAGACATCCTAGTTGATTTTGATGCCCTTGGGAATGAAGACAGAGGGGACTTGTCCTTGTTGATGACGGTGGTCCACACCACAAAAGAGGCCAGCTTCTGGGTGCAGAATACCAATCAGAATACCAGAATACCAAGGAATCTCCTTTCAATTTCATGCCAAAACTTGATCATTTTGCCTGCTGTGGATTGCCAGCACAGCAAATAACTTCTCATCCAAGAAGATGATGTTGGGGGGCAAACCATACTCAAGCCACTCCAGTATCTGATGACTTCAAGACAATCTCTTATTCTTGCTGGCTGCACTGAGGAGCTGTAGCTTATGGAGCTGGTAGGAAGTGAACCCTAGATCATTCTAGATCACCCTCATTATTGTCAACCTTGAGACATTCATCTCCTCTGTAATCTTCCTGATGGACATGTTGGGATTGTGCCAAATCCAGCACTTGACTTGGTTGACCAATTTCTTCATTCTCGTTGTCTTCCTGTTGCCTCCAGAACAATTGGTGGTAGAGCCTGTCTCAAAGTATTGATCCAATGTCCTTTCGATGAAGGCTTAGCTCAAGTTCAACTTTTTGCCTGCCTTTCCAATTTCTGGTCTTTTCAAGCCCTGTTCATGCAGTTCTATGATTAACAACTGCCTGGCTTCCAATGCCATTTTCTCTGTGTTCAACCAACAGAGTCAAATTCAGGACTGGATTAAACAGCAGAAACATACAATTCCAACAAATAACATTTGAACCACATGAGTCAAATATTTGGTATAAGAGGGAATTTTGACATTTTGTTACACTTGACCTTGTAGATGTTGCACAGCAGTGTAATGCCAAGGTTCTCATTGAAGCAAATGATGGAACCAAAGCTTTTGGTACAACCCTAATGTTTTTGTGACTAAAAAACATGGGGCAATAGGATGGGGGCAGGATGAGGGGAGATGAGTAAAAAGTATGAGATGAGTATAATGCAGAGTGAACAAGATTGTCAAGAGTTTGTGAGACATGGAATGCTTGATTCCTAGGTTGTCTACAGTGACTGATTGACCCCTTCCCACTCTTCATTCACCAGTCCCTTCCTCTATGAATGGAAGAACTCCATCTCAAGAACAGGGCTCATTATTTTACCTCATGGGAAAGTAATGGGTCCAGTTTCTGGGCCACATGGGCAATGCACTGATTACATGCTGCCAGCTTTAAGCCTTTCTCAATCCATATTGGACTACTGACCTGGATTCATGATGGAAGTAATCTTTTTCCTTCTGGAGAAGGAGAAAGGCCTCCTGCTTTCTTCGAAGCCGTCCTTCCAGTTCTGTACGATGATGTTCAGCTTGCTCAGCAGCAAGTCGAAATGCACCTATGTCCCCTTCCATTTCTTGCCTTTCTCTCATGCTTTGCTTCAATTCTACCATTTGAGAACAGACTTACAACATGCCGGAAGATACTCCCTCCAGCCTTTATAAATGCTCTTACGGACAACAAGGGCAGAAAGTTGATGTACATCTCCTGGGACTCTTCCTGTATGGCCTTCTTCTTCCTTTGGTATACTTGATTCTTCCTGCTCGTGTATCCCATCATCTAGGTTTTCCTCAAACCTGAGGACCAATCCATATAACAAGGTCTTAAACCCCAATCTCATTTGCCAGAGAGGGAGGAAAGATTCCTTTTCTGGGGAAGATATGATAAATACTTACCTCTTTAGATGAAGATCAACTTGTTGAAGAATTTGGTCAACTTTTTTGTCTTCTACATGATGACTACCTAATTTCATTTCAACACCATCCTCCTTCTTCACTTGCTTTTCCAGCTCCTCATTTGCTTTCACAATCTACGTGGTGGGCCAAAAAAAATACCAACCATTACACTTTGATCAGTAAATCACAGGAGGGGAGAGCTGGAATCTGGTGATGGACATAGATATGAAGACATCAACTCTTTGTTGAACCTGGTGAAAGAAACCTTCAATATGGCTTTCAACATTTCCAACAACAGCTGGAAAACCTGAACCCCATTGAAAAATCATCAAAGGAAAGCACCTTGCATTTGGTTGATCTCAAGAGGATCCCACAGATTCTGAAAGATAATGTTCCAGTAAACTTTTCCTGAAGTGTTCTGAAAGATGCAAAATCAGAAGGGTGTAAATCAGACTTGTTCTGATGCAGTTTCTGGCACCCTTAAGTCAGGCATCTTTCTGAAGCAATTGATTCATGATCCATATAAAAAGCACCACATTCACCATCTCTTGCATATTTTTTTCTGTGATACACATGCCAGACTTGAAGGCACATGAAATATGGCTACTTAAAACCCCTCATTTAGAACCTGTTCAATTCAGCAATTTGGTGAAAACTTCAGGAAATAGTTTACATACAAGTAGACCAGCAGTAGAATCTAGGGAATTGGCAAGCTAAGATCACCCAAGAGTCACAGGCTGTACTCAAAAGATTTTGGAAAGGGCTATTCACCAGTACTGATCCCATGTGGCTGCCATTTTTCAATATGGTGAAGGCCATATAAGGCATTTCTTGTAAATGAGGTAGCTAAAAACTTGGAGCACTAAGAGGTGTTATTCTTCAGTAGATTCTAGCTTTCTATTCTAGTGGATAAATGATTGAATATCCATGCTTTGCTTAATTTGGCCTACTCCTGTGTATTCCTAAAAAGAGCAATAACAATGATAATCATAAATAATCAGAATTCATTCAGCTGAAACAAACCAGGGAAAAGAAAACAATGTTTTCTTTTCCCTCAGCAATAAAACAAAAGGGCTTCATGCATGCAAAAAATTCCCTAGCTTCCACATGCACTCATCAGAAAAAATAAAATGTGAACCTTGGAAAGTTCCTGAAGTAAGGCATCATTCTGAGCTCGAAAATCTTCTTCAAGAGAATGAAGTTTCTCTTGCAAGAGATAGTTTTCCTCAGTGAGTGTCTCAACATCTTTGATTTTCTTGCTTCTCTGGATGGTTTTTTGGGCTCGACTCAGTTCAGCATGAGTCAAATCCACCTGTTTCCTCAAGGCCTGTAACTCTGTATGAGTACAAAGAAGCCACGGGTCCAAAACCTTACATTTCCAACTTCCGAATAGCAACAGTAAATAAAGAATTTAAGATATAAATCAAGGATATAGTATTTGTCCATTTCATGCGAAAAATAACATTGGTTGTCTTAGTGAGGCTACATGAACAGCCTAGTTCTAAATATTGAAAATTAATACAGAATGTTTCTGAATGACCGAAAGCACCAGATTGCGAATACAAGCTGCCAAAATAAGGTTCTTGCATCGAGTGGCTGGCGTAACGCGCCGTGATTGGATGCAGAACTCTACCATCCGCGAGAGTCTCCATGTTGAGCAGCTGCTTCTCCGGATCGAGAGGTCTCAGGCCAGGTGGTTTGGTCATATCTGCCACATGCCCCCTGAAAGGCTCCCAAGAGGAGTCTTCCAGGCCAAGATGACTGGCAAAAGACCTGTTGGTAGACCTCATACAAGTTGGAGTGATTACGTCGCTCGGCTTTGTCATGAGAGGCTCGGCATTCCACCAGCTGAGCTCGAGTCTGTTGCCCAGAATCGAGATCACTGGAGGATGCTCCTGGGAATGCTCAAACCACGACCCCATTAAGTTGGGAAAAGCGTGCAAGAAAATGTATGAATGTATGTATGTATGTATGTTTCTCATTGACCTTTTTGAAGATAAGCTCAAGACAACATAAATGAAAAGAGTTTGGATAAAAGGACATTAAAGTTAGCTGAGTAAAGAGGAAGTCCCATTAGCTACCAAGTAATTTTAAAATCAATCTCTTTTAATCCTTTCCCTGACCTTGGCATAATATTACATTGACATTCTGAAAACGTCCCCACCGGGTAGAAGATTAATATTCAATTGTGCAAATTACATGAGGAAATCCTTAGAATAGGTGACTTTCATGACACTCTTCCAACTTTGAGTTGGAAGAGTGTGAGGAAAAAGGATAAAAGTTACATTCCCTAGAACAAGTCCATAAGCTACAATATTTTGAGAAAGTTACTTCTTGAATTAAAGTTTGGTTTTTTATCATATGCATTTCCCTTCATTCAATATTATTGAAATTAACCTAAACTAATTCTTTGAAAACACTTCAAATTACAATTAAATTAGTATTTTTTGACTCTGCAAAGGACACCTTTTCCAAAGATATACGATGAAATGAATTTGGTTTAGTCAAAATCAAATTGTATTGGGTAAAACTCCTATGGCAATGACATCTATGAACAAGGTGCAATGAAACTTGAAACAAAATCAATCAAATCAATCCTTTTTCCTCTGGATTTTCAATAACTCGCTGATTTTCTGATGCATTTGTACCATTTAATACTACATGCAATCTTTTAATTTGCATTTGAAATTGAAAGTATTTCTATCAATTACATTGATTCACTGCAGTTTGAGTGAATAAACAGGGCAGGGCAAAAAAAAATAACTTTAACCCTAACCATTCTGATGTTCTACCCAACCAGCAGCAAAAGTAACTCAGGACCATGTCCAACAACAGAATGAAAAGGTTTTACCTTTACATTTCTGTTCTCAATAGAACCATTTTAATGAAACTCTAATGTGCTTTGTTGGATACATTTCCAATAGATCTTCCGAAATTCATCAAAATTAATTTATTGGCAATGCTACCAATAATACTGATACTGATTTTGGAGAAGAGATTGTGCTGGTTATGAAGTTGATTCCAAGCATTAAGCTTGCACACCAGCAATGCAGTATTAAATTTCTCTTCCATTGAAATTCATTATTTAGGTAGGCCTTTTCTTGCAGATGGTTTTGATAAGCACCTTTCCACTTGGTGATCAATGAATCAATTAGTATGAATACAAAGAATCTGCTCAACGTTTATTCATAGCAGATCTAGAATTTTTTTGGTTTATGCTGGAGAAAGTGGCAGGCAGAGTCTGGTGACTGAAAGGAAATCCAGACCCAATCCATTTTCAATAGTGAATTTCTTTTGAATAATTGCTCATGGTGTTGCTCTTGCTCAAAGAATTTGGATTAAATTTCAAATGTCTGTTGCAAACATAAATTACTAGGTTGAGGAAAAAGTTTGTGCGCTGTATTAAAATAATGATTTTTTATATATTTTTGTGTTTTTGATCTGGTTTCGTGGCTATTATGAAATTTTATTGATTTTTTAAGATGTCTGATTATGAAATCACAAATTTTGAGCTTCGCGTATTGCTGTGTCATTATTGGAGAAAGAATTTGGATGCAAGAGCAGCTGCCAAAGCAATTTGCAACGTTGAAGGTGAAGGTACGGTGGCACCGCGAACTGCACAGAAATGGTTCAAGCGTTTCAATGAAGGCGATTTGGATCTTGAAGACAGGCCACGTTCCGGACGACCAACGGTTCTGGACGAAGGAGACTTGCAAGCCGCTTTGGATGTTGAGCCGTCATCAAGCACACACGAATTGGCTGAAGAACTTGGTGTCGATCAGAAGACAGTTTGGAATCATCTCAAGCAACTTGACTTCGTCCACAAAAAGCCACGACAAGATCCACACGAGTTGACCGAAGCGCAAGCCGCCAAACGAGTCGAAATTTGCCGCCAATTGCTCAACAATCCGTTGGATGACCGTTTTTGGAAGCGAATTGTGACATCAGACGAGAAGTGGGTCTACCTGGTCAATCACGATCGAAGCAAGCGTTGGGTCCCAAAAGGTCAAACTCCTCCATCCGTTCCAAAGCAAAATCAATTTGGAAAGAAGATCATGATTTGCGTTTGGTGGAACTTCGAAGGAATCTTGCATTTTGAACTTGTGCCGAATGGTCGCGCCATCAACGCTGAACTTTACTGCGAGCAACTTGATCGAGTCTACGATGCGCTGGTTGAAAAGTACCCAAGTCTTGTTTGTCGAAAACGCGCTTTGTTTCAACAAGACAATGCAAAGCTGCATACCGCCAGAAAGACCAGCAACAAGTTTGAAGAATTGGACAGTGTCGAAGTTCTGCCGCATCCAGCCTTATAGTCCAGACGTTGCTCCATCTGACTACGGTCTCTTCCGATCAATGCAGCACTTTATGAAAGGTCGCCGATTTGAGTCATTCGATGAAGTTGAAGAAGCATGTCAAGAATTTTTCGATTCAAAGCCAAAGGAGTGGTACTTTGACCAAATCCGAAAGCTTGCAGATCGTTGGCAGAAGGTCGTGGACAATGATGGTCTTTATTTTGAAGAATAGTTGTTGTTCTTTTTGAATAAATTCTTGCATAAAAAATCATTATTTTAACACGGCACACAAACTTTTTCCTCAACCTAGTATAAATGACATACAGAACAAGTTTTATTTTAAAAAAAAAATATCTCCAGTGAGGGCATAGATTAATAGGTTGAAAGTCACTAGTCCCTTCTTATTTTTACAATATTCTACTTTTAAGAAAAATGGATATTCAGTTCACCATTCAAGAACCAGTTGAAGTTGTCATTGACTTCCATTAACTTTATAGTAGCTGCATGGAAAAGAGCCTTCTTTTTTCAACTTTTGGCAATTTCAGTTTTCAATAATCTAATAAATATGTCTTTGCTAAATAGCAATTCATCTTTTGTGACTCAGGCTTCTATTCTTTATTTTTGCTAGCCCTACTAGTCCTACTAACCCTATCAAGTCGAAGTCCTACAAAAAATATTTTTAAAAATGTTCTTTATTTTTGTCAAAATATTTTTCTATCAGTAGACTTCATTGAATACAATTCATTGAATTTATGTTCAAGAAAACTATAATATATACTATAAATGTGTACACCTTCAATTGCACACATTGACATTAAAGGAGGTATGAATTAATCAAGGAGTCTAGTGACTTATGGGAAATACTAAATTTAAAAAATTGTTCACCCTTTCAATAGTAATTACTAGGTTGTCCCAAATATTCTGGGGCAGCTGCGGAAAAATAAATTTTTATGCGCAAATTCAAATAAAAATCAACAACAACTATTCTTCAAAATAAAGGTCGTCATTCTCAACGATCTTCTGCCATCGATCTGCAAGCATCCGGATCTGCTTGAAGTACCATTCTTTGGGCTTCGAGTCAAAAAGTTCCTGACACGCTTCCTCAACTTGATCAAAAGATTCAAAGCGTCGTCCTCGCAGAATGTGTTCCATAGATCGAAACAGGCCGAAGTCGGATGGAGCAGTATCAGGACTGTAGGCGGGATGCGGCAGAACTTCAACTCCTTCCAACTCCTCGAACTTCTCCTGCGTCATTCTTGTGCAGTGAGCCTGGTGCGTTGTCCTGCTGAAACAAAGCTCGCTTGCATTGAATCAAGACCGGGCACTTCTCCTTCAGCACATTGTAGACTCGGTCCAGTTGCTCGGTGTACAGCTGGGCGTTCACAGCACGACCATTCGGAACCAGCTCAAAGTGGACCACGCCCTCAAAGTTCCACCAAACTGAAAGCATCACCTTTTTGCCAAAACGATCCGGTCGAACTGTTGGCTGCACTTCTTGACCTCGTGGGACCCACTGCTTTTGCTTGTTATGGTTGACCAAATAGACTCACTTCTCGTCAGACATCACAATGCGCTTCCAAAATCGGTCGGCCAATGGGTTCTCGAGCAACTGACGACAAACCTTGACCTGCTTCCGGGCCTGTGCTTCTGTCAGCTCATGAGGAACCTGCGGGGCTTTTTGTGCATAAAGTCGAGCGTTTGCAGATGACGATGAACCATTGACTTGCCAACTCCAAGAACTCCAAGTCTCAAGTGCTTGACGATGGCTCGTCTTCCAAAGCGGAACGCAATGCATCCTCGTCAAATGTTGACGGTCGGCCAGAATGAGACTTGTCTTCGAGGCTGAGGTCGCCGTCGTTGAACTTTTTGAACCAGCGTGCAGCGGCCAACTTACTTTTCAACTTCAACAGTTGAAAATTGGCTATGGTTCTTACTCAAAGACCTGCATGATTCCAGCTCCTTGCATGTGATTATTGAATGGATAGAGACAGATGCTAAGGCAATTCTTGTTTCTTGAGAGAAAAAAAAAAGGATAAGCAAAACCATAACAGAAGCTTTCCAAAAGAGGGACTGAAGGAACCCAGAAAGATATATTAGATTGAGGCATAAGTTCTGACCCTCTATGACCTATGTTTAGAAATTTGACTGTCATTTTCTGATGCAAAATTTTTGCAGCTATTGGATTTTGTATTTAACTACAGGTTGCCTGCCATGTATTTTGATACCTCATTTGCCACAAACTGCTTATTTTATCACTCCACTTTTCAGCACAATGATTGAACAAAATGTTTACTGCCAGGCCCTTTTTTTACACATGTGCCACCACCAGCTGACAGGGACCGCTGCATACTGAGAACTGCAGGAAACCTACGTTGAAACTGCTCCAAGCCTTTTGACATGCAAGTGATGGCTGAAGAAGTTCACCTCTGGGAGCAACGACATCAATGACAAACCCCACTCAAGACGACCCACTGAGCTGAAGAAGGGAGATCTGCAGCAGCTGCTTGATGAAGACCCGGGTCAATCTTCACATCAAATATGTCAGGTCTTCCTTGTTTTCTTCGCTGAGTTCGTGAGGTACCCAAACGCTCTGTGTGTGCACCTTGCCAAGGTTGTGGAGATGTCTGATGATGGTTTTAAGGTCGCATCTGACCTGTTGTCCGAGTTGATGTGAAGATTGACCCGGGTCTTTATCAAGCAGTTGTTACAGATCTCCCTTCTTCAGCTCAGTGGGTTGTCTAGAGTGGGGTATGTCATCAATGTTGTCGCTCCCAGAGGCGAACTTCTTGAGCCATCGCTCGCATGTTGAAAGGCTTGGAGCAGTTTCAACACAGGTTTCCTGCAGTTCTTGGTATGCAGCAGTCACTGTCAGCTTGCAGTGGTGCGTGTAAAGTAAGAGGGTGCTGAAGTAAACATTTTGGTCAATCATTGTGCCGAAAAATGGAGTGATACAATAAACAGTTAGTGGCAAATGAGGTATCAAAATACCTGGCAGACAACCAGCAATCAAATACAAAACGCAATAGCAGCAACAGTTTTACATAAAAAAATGACGGTCAACTTCCTTAACATTTGTCATGGAGGGTCAGAACTTATGCCTCAACCTAATAGTTGGAGTGAAATGAAAACTAAAATTTTACATGGAGAAAAACAAATACAAAGAAAAAGAGTTTATTCAAGGGGAAAACAATTATTCATTTTTGGAAAGAATTTCTAAAAAACTGGAGCAAAGAATCATTTAGCAGATGAGCCAAGACTCCAATACTTTCTAACCTTATTCATGATCCATTACTACTGTCAACCCTCATATTGGGAAGGTGATGAAACTGAAGTCTTGTCTTGTATTGAACAAGCAATGTGAGCCATGACAGCCCACCATTCCTTTGAGGAAATGCAACATCAGAAGAGAAAGTACACACTTTTAAGAAACAAAAAAATATGAGTGTGGGAATGGATACGGCATTCCGGCATACATCATGATCAGTCCAACCTATCTTATTACTGATGATGAAAGATCAGCTCATGGAGAAATGCTTCAGACTCAGAAAAAAAGTATACTGTTCTGGAGCTGGTTCATATACCATATGCAGGGTGTTCATATTTAAACGCAACATAGGGACATTTTTGCTGCCTGTTTGTGGAGTTCAGAGCGTGCCCTATAGCTCACCAGGTTGCATATCTGGAAGGGTAAAACCTATCACTCAACTGGTGTGCTTCCTTGCAGATAGGCAACCCGGTGGACTTTATAGTGTTCGCTGACCTCCACCTCCAGGCGGCAAAATATTCCCTATGTTGCGTTTAAATATGAACACCCTGTAGATTTTCAAAGTGCAAGAGGTTTGAGGTTCATATTTTCAATATTTCGCATTCCACTTGAATTATTATTCCTTACCTAACATATAATTTTGTCTCCTAAGCATTCTGCTCATCCATGCTTATACTGGGTGCAAAGTAAAGAGCATGCCACTGTTGGAATGTTTATAGGGTGGTTAAAAAAAAATGCTCTACTGTTTTCTATGGGAGAAACACAATTTCATAAATACAGCAAACAAATTAAATTTTAATACACAATCAATATTTGACAGTTACAAGCTGTTGAAATGTTTGCCAGCTTTTTTTCAGCTCCCCTGCCTAAGTTGTGCTTTGCCCACTTAAAGGTGAATTAAAGGTGCTTCGAGGTGGATCATTCCACCTCCAGTGGGCTGATTACCTGTGCTCGACCATCTCAGAATTCAATGAACTTTTCAACTTTAACTTTTCGAAGGAAAGCTGGATCCAGTTGATACTTGGCAGAGGTTCATCATCCATACTTACTCATTAATTCATCTCCTGCAGTTCTTTCATCTCATTCAGCCATGAACTTACCATTTGTTTGCCTTTTGCATTGCTCCTTCAATGTGTAGTTTTCTTCACGAAGGGCAACCAACTGGTTCTAGAAACATGAATATGAAAGAAATCCTGGACATAAATACAAGAAATACAAGTGTCTACAGGGCTAAAAGGTTGTTTTTGTTGTATGGTCTCACTTGAAAATGCTGTAGGTCTTCTTCAGAATAGGTAGACATCTTCTTTCAGGGCACCAGAGTCAATGATACAGTTCATTATCACAATCCATTGCCAATGAGCAGCTCCCACTCCAACCAAAATGTCAGTGCATTAAAAAAAAAGGCATCACCTGTTGGCATTAAAAAATAATGACAATAATAAGCAAAGCTGAAATTACAAGGGTAAATCAAGAAGTAAAGGGAATTTTTATTCCTTTATCTCAAACAGTTGGCTATTCTGGTTGAAACAGGTTAGGTTGTTTACTTTACTATCAGTCAACAAGACAATAACACAGTTTAGTAACAGTTTTGATCTATGTGAGTTTTATACTAGCTTTTTTTTAGTATCTTTTAAATGGTTCAGCCACACACTGATTCCCCGACTGTAGAGACTCTATAGGATTTGAATTTCAAAGTTCTAAGACATCCTCCCTACAGCCCAGACCTTGCTCCGTCAGACTTCCACCTCTTTGGACCACTCCAAAACGCTCTGTGAGGTCGGTGATTTTCTTGTGACAATAGGGTAATGGATGTGGTGCAAGAATGGCTTTGACAGCAACCGAAAAAGTCTTATTCTGATGGGATCAACAATCTGGTAAAGTGGTGGGAAACATGTGTAAGGAAGTTGAGAGATTATGTGGAGAAATGAGCTAATTTGAAAGCCTGTATCATTTCTGAATAAATTTTTATTTTAAAAATTCTCTTTACTTTTCAATTTACCCCTGTATTAGGTAAAATATAAAGTCCATAAATCAAATTTAGAGAGACACACAATTTCAACAACAAAAAACTAGCGATAGTAATGTTACTTTGGCAGAAAATTGTAAGAGACTGCCAAGAAAGTTCCAGACAAAGAAATGTCACTCATACATTTCTCAGACTGTAACTTACCATCTTCCCTACTGAAAACATTAAGATTCCAGTAATGTGCTACTTTCACAGTGTTACTTCTCATCTCTGCCATCAATGAAATCATGCCAAACTGAAAAATTAAAGGGTATGACAATACCACTGGATGAGCATAAGGTCACATCATGTGGTCCTGGGCATCTCCTGCATTGGCAGCAGCCAGAGCCATACATGTAAAATGCAGGATTCAGGAGACATCATGTAGGAATCAGGATGAAAAGTTGCTTTAGCAAACTTTAGCAAAGTTCACAAAGAATGCAGGCGTCAGGTGTCATAATTTTGGCATCATATTCATCAGCACATCATTTGCTATCAATGTCAAACTTAATTAATATATTTTGTGAGACAGGTCTGTCACAATGGCAAACATGGAATCTTTGACATTCAAAATATTGCATGTATAAGAAAAAGAACAATCACATAAGAGAACATGGAATCTTTATTCTTCAAAACTTGTATTAAAATTGCATTGCCTATTGACTGCTTCCCATGATAGAGATGCACCTCTGGATGACCAGTGTGAATGGCATGCAACTCATCCAATCCAGCAGGACTCATCTTGAATGTGTGCCTATGGAATTTGAAGGGAAGCAATTCAATTCAATTCCACTAACACAAAGAAAAGCCACCACCATAAGCATGCTTTCAATTTAAGGTTAGAAACCTGTGTGATGGGAGGGTGAAGAAATGAATGACAAAGAAGTAAGCAGAAGCTTGGGAGTGGCATGAAAAAGGGAGAAAAAGGAAACTACCAAGCCATTATATGAGGGAGAGTCAATAAATAAAGTGGATTAAATTTTTTCACGGACATTATGTACCAATTATGTACTCATTACCATATACCCTCATTATTGTATGTCTGAACATGTAATACTCATAGTTTCAGCAATATAAAGTTGGCAACATTGTTGGTGGCAGTTTTTAAAATTGCAGCTCTTAATTCAGATTGCATCGCCTTTGAAAAGCGAAGTGTTATTCAATTTTCACTGTCAGAAAGACTCAAACCAAGTAAAATTTATTGTAGAATGCATGCACAATATGGGGACAGTTGTTTTTCATTAAAAAAATATGTACAAGTGGTATGAACTATTCAGAAACGGTTGTCAATTAAAGATGCATTTCAGGGGTGCAATTTCAGGAATGATACAGACATTCAAAATGCAGTGCATAATTGGCAACGCTCTTCACCAAAAACATTTTTCCCTGATGGAATTAGAAAGCTTGTCAGTCGCTGGAATAAATGTGTTAAGGAAGGGGTAATTACATATAAAAATAGTGTGTGTTCATGTTTCTGGAATAAACTGTTTTCAAGTTATACTGAAATTCACCTCATTTATTGACTTCCCCTCGTATTATTCTTAAGGGACACAGCAGAGCATACACAACTCTTCAAAAGCAAATGTGCCATTAACAAATCCAAATAATACTAGATATTGAAGTTTTTAAACATTTTCTTGAAGAGCAAAGTTAAATGTGAGGAGACAACAGTGGGAGCCCATTCCATATTTGCACACTTTGAAGAGATGGGGATCTTCGTCCAAGGTTTGTTCTTACAGCAAGGGTTATCAATTTGCTGATTTGCCTTGAGGCAAACTCATGGCAATTTTGACCTAATTGTAAAGTAGATTGGTGCAGAAGGTGCTTTGAAATTTCTTAATGAAGCATTTGAAAAATTACCATGGCAATGCAACTTCAGAACTGGGGATATCATAACATCACAAAAACACTGAATAACTAATTAAAGGGAATTTCACTTGTGTTCTTAATGTCAAGATTTGAACAAGATGTGTTCAATCGCAACCTTCCTATTTGAGTCATAAGAGTTTTAGTACAAGTTCCCTAGGCAGCAATCCCATTCTCTACATTTGACTAGTATGGCAGTGGGTTGGAAAAATGCATCTTGAATAGTTCCTGAATAGAATTCCAGTGGTTCTAACAAATTTAAATTTCATGTGGCTGAAACACAATTTCTATATAACACAGGGTGTTCAAAAAGTCATGCAACCCACAGTATAAGTATCATCAGTCATTCTTAGCTACCATATTGACCTTCAAACTCAAGCTGGGTATCACTAACTTCTGATGCTATTATAAAGCTTTACCAGGAGTTTCATTCTCTGCAAAGAGTACTAGAGCATTGCAATATATCAATATTTTCATCATACTGCAGCATTCAGTTCTTGTGGTAATCATACTGACCCCTTCTACATTTTTGGTATTATGGCCATGGTATGAAAACTGCAAATACCACCCATGTTCATATCACCACTATTAAATGGAAACCATAGGATACTGCCTCTCATCAAACCGCTGCCACACCAAGTGCCATACCTAAAAATGAAATACTTTCTCAACTGTATTTCCCATCTCCATTCACAGTGATAACCCAGTTGAAAATTCCATGTACGACAGGGTGTATGATTCTAAATGGTCATTTATGATCATATATATTTGCCACATACCACCATACATGTATCCATATATTAACAATTGTATGGTGTATAATATATTTTACCTGCATTGCAATATTAAGTGTGATGGGCAAATGTGATGTGATGGGCATCATGTCTGATATGTGATGAATATCCATAGACAAGTCTTATGGTTGTAAGTAAAACATGGCATGAGGTCAGGTCATGAGTGGTGCATTTTGCTGAAGAGTCAGGGGGGACAGGGCAGCAGAGAGGGTGCACCAAGCCCTGTCCCAGGGATGCTGGGGGGGCAGCTGCACCCCCTGCCCCCCCCCCCCCCCTGGAAAATATGCCACTGCATGAGGTTGTTACACATGAGGGCAATTGACCTTCGAATGCCTCTGCAATTAAATTTTAATGTACCCATTATATTTTACATGAAATATTAGCTATGTATAACCTTTAAAGTAATTTGCCAAAAGTTTGATTTCAAACCCCCCCAAGCTGAAAATCCTTGTTGGAAACAGCTGGTCATGAAGACCAGATCATCAGCCAATCCTTGTGATTCGATTTCTGGCTGGAATTTTTCTTTGGCATTAAGGATGGAGCATATTTCCACTGCATTTGGAGACATTACCATTGAAATGCGCCAGAAAACGCTGCTTGAATACCCAGCACGATTGGAAAAAGTGCTTAAAATCGATGGGGGTCATGTTGAAGTACATAACTTGTAATTGGTGAATTTGCTTTGGTTGAAATGTTGTCACAATAAATGCTAAACAGACATCTAAATATTGTGAACATTTTGTTTAGTTTGCTCAAGTAGGAAGAATTTTATACATGATTAAAATCGCCCTCAATAAATGAGACACCCTGTATATGGCCATTTCATATATGTTCTTATATGAAATTTCCACTTCTGCCGTTTCTTATTCCTGGACAGGAATCATGGCCATACATGGTCCCCATACACTGAGCTCTGTTCTAGTCTGAAAACTTCCTCAAGGAAGTCCTCTGGAGAGCTAAGATTCATTGTGTCTACACGTACCTGTTCGTTGTTATGTTGGGCAACGCATTCCACATGGAAGTCTGTGAGAACAGCACTCCTAAAGTGACAGTCATTGGTTGTAGTATGCACACATACATCACCCACAACTGACTGAGTTGTGTGCAGAGTACAAAAGAATGCAAACTAGGTGTGCACAAGATGAAGGAATACCCTGAGCTGCTATATCCCACCTTCCTTTGGCTCTCCACAAGTATAGAAGCTGATTACATCTGCCTTTATTTCACAGTACTGTGACTCTGAATTCAAGATCTACTCAAGTGGTGACTTGAACGAAGCTGATCTTTTTTTCTTCTCATGATCCCTGGCTTGCTTTTGAACATCGTCGACATCAAGATCCAGGTAGGGATATTACATTGGGGGGAAGAGCATTCCAATCAACAACCGGGGAAAAACCGTGCTTAAACGTTCAAGATATGCTCCCACAATACATTCTACATTTATTTATTTAAGAGGGGTAGGCCTATCTTATGATACACGAACGCTCGACCTTGGCACGGGATGTCCTAATGGGCAGAAATGGCTCTTGACGTTCCGACCCGAATCATGAACCATGAACAACGTTAAACCAATTATCCAGTCGCGACTTCTTAGGCTTAACGTTGTTTCTGAAAGAGGGACGTCTTTCCAAGGCAGACTCGAGGCACACGTTGTCGCAAGCTTGAGCAAAGAGGTGGAAAAACAAATTAATTCGAAACCAGGAGAGATGGTACACAGGAACGACCATGTGCGGGCGTCCATACTGGATTACGAGGTCTGCAAGGGTCATGTATACATTTCGCGCTGATGGCTGAGGTCATCCATCCAGGCAAGTTATACGTCCATTTGGACAAGAACATTAATGTGGTTGAAACCATGAGGGGCGGGGAATCTTAATGGAGTCATACTGTTCGACATGCCTCATCGACAGGCTTGCCGATGGCCTCATCTGCCTTGGGTTCCCATCGAGAAGAAAGTCCTGACGGGAGTATGCGGAAGGGCGGAGAAAGCCCGATGATGACTCGCCTTGTCCTTGCCTGGCCATCCAGAAAGGACAGTTCTTCGTGTCCACGGAAAGTTATTCCCTTTTAATCGTTTATAATGACACATCAGAAGGACAATTTTCGACTCCGAGATATCTACGGGTCGTGCAATTGGATTGCGCATTCGTGCAGTACCGGTTGCAAATGTGAAGTATCGGGGCAACGGGAGTCGGGAATCCGAGGAATGAGGCGGATTGACGTCATACGAGAGAGAACGAACGAACGCGATGACTCATTTGCAGGGAAGAGGGAACCAATGGCATTGCACGTCTACGTGGATCCTCTATCTCCATCTCGTCTTTCCGAGCCGAGCGAGCAAACACCAGCGATCGTGCAAGCGCAATAGATGGCCGTGACGGTGGCCAAGGGGTGAGAGAAGACCGAGGTCATGGATTCGGCCGTGGAATCCGGTGTGGATATGACTTTCGACGCCGAGATGGATTTCCAGGACCTGGAGGAGATCCTTCAGGCGGATCTGGAGAAACACTCCTCGCGCTCTCCGAACGTGGTCTACTACGAGCTCAAGTCCAGGCCTGTCGACACGGACTCGTGAGTGGATCGTATGGCAGAAGTACCTCTTTCCTTGGTTCCGCGCGGGAAGCTTTCGTGCCGCGGTCGAATCGGTATGGAAAGATTCGTATCAACGTCGCGTGTCGTATCCAGAGGCGGGGGGCGACCCCCCTCACCCTCCCTCCCCTATGAAAATTTTCCGTATGTGCCTCTGGCCGCATCCGTGAGGAGGAGGCAATCCTGGGATCGCCCCGGGACGTAGCATTCTCGTTCTACTATATTCATCGCGTTCACCTTTCCATTCGTTTTCCCGCTCGGGTTTCCGTCAGAAATTCTTCTGTGAATTGCGAAGAAGTTAATCGGTGCAATACCCTGGAAATGATTCCGATTTATTATCTACGATGGGCCTTTTTCTCGATGCATTAGCTCTAACTTCAGAAGCAAAGCAGTAGTTCCTACGTGTGCCTTTCGGCTTTCAACCTGTTTAAAATCCCATCTGGAATTTTCCAGCTGGACCAAAGCTGTACGTTCGGACCATTTCCAGCTGGCTAAGATCGGGAAAATGATAGATACACGTTGTTTACAGCTGGAATTTCCAAACTGGAGTGCAACTGGTTTTAATAGCTATTTCCTGGTGGAATTTCTCAGTTAGATTTGCTTACAAAGAACCCTCCAGCTGAAATACAGCTGAATTTAAAGCAGAAATTCAGCTGCTTCTGTAGATGAACCTCCAGCAAGAATAGCGAACAAGAAAATTATAATTCCAACAGTGGTATTGCAACCAGGAACCTATCTGGATCAGACTTAACTTTCCAGTTGTTACTCAGTTGGAATGGGTCCGAATTTCCAGCCTGGGTCCAGCTGGAAATTAAAGCTGTTTCCAGCCGGGATTTTAAACTGGGAAGACACTGGGGCTGCCTGCTGTACTGCAAAATCCAGAGTTTGTTGGGGGGGGGGGCTTGAACCAAATCATACCCCTCGCTACACCACTGCTGTCAAAATAAGTTATGTGCTGGACAACATGCCGGATGGAATCATTCCTATTACTGAGATCGAAGTGGAGCATGAAATACAGCAGACGGAGAACTGCACCCACTGGAAGCAACATGCAATTTTACTGTCTTTTAACGACCTGCTTCATGTGCTATATCGATCATCCAACATGCTGTACAGGGTGGCGCAAAAGTCGCGCACCATAGGGTAAATTACAGTAAAATGTTCGAATCGTTCGCCATTAACTTGAAAACACTTCGATTCGTTGTACACATAATGTTTGAACATATCTTAGTTCCACCCTTTCGTCTTTTGTTAATTTTGCTGCCATCAATTACTTGCAAAGGAAGTAACATGATATAATGTAGTGCAACAATGAAATCCTCCATGGTGCACGACTTTTGCGCCACCCTGTACAACAGGAGTATGAACTAGGCAGAACGCTGGAGGGCTACGGTTCCACGAGTTCGCATCCTTTATTCTCGCAAGTGGCTATAGGGTCATCCATCTCATATCAGCCAGACGCCGGAGCATGACCCCCTCCGATATTGACGAAATTTATTTACGTGGTACCCCTCTTGGCCCAAAGTAAGAATGCAACATTTTGGCTTCGGGTATGGAGCCGTTTTGGCACAAAAATTCGTTAAATTTTGTGAAATTAAAAAAAAGGGGCTCCTCTTCATGCTCATGTGGGCATTTTCTATGCATCTCAACAAACTTGAAGTATTTGCAGAATGTCTGCCATTTACTTGAGTAAAAGATTAGAGCAATTTCAAAGCTCATATATATTTTTAATGCATACCACACATTTTTGTTCAGACGCCACCTCATAATTTCTGCCGTTGTTTTAAGGCCAAAAAACCCCATAGTTTTCATTACCAGTTCTTCACTTTTTTTTCATAACTGCAATCAAAGGAAAAATGTTTGGCCATAAAAACAACGGCAGACATTGTGATAAGGGGTCTGAATAAAAATGTGTTATGCATTTAAAAATATACTGTATATGAGCTTTGAAATTGCTCTAATCTTTACTCAAGTAAATGACAGACTCAAGTAAATTACTCAAGTAAATGACAGACATTCTGCAAAATTTTCAAGTTTGTTCAGCAGCATAGAAAATGGCACCATACAATTGAAAACTGTTTTTTTTTTGCGAATTTTGTGATTTTTGCATATTACGAACCATCACATCTCCTTAAGTGGAATTTGTTGGAACGAAAATGGGACACACATCATTAGATCTTTTCCCGAAGATCATACCCGAAGCCAAAATGTTGCATTCTTACTTTGGGCCATGAGGGATACCACATAAAAATTTTTCTTCAATATCGAATGGGGTCATGCTCCGGCCTCTGCCTGATTTGAGATGGAATGACCCTATAGTGCATGTATGGGGCTTCAAGAGGCCCGGGGCAAAACCTGAGGTCCCTTGGAGGCCCCCTTGAGGTCTTTTGGAGGCCCTCTTGGGTCCCCTTGATATGCGAGGCCCTGGACAGACTTTCCCCGATTCTCTCCCTCTGGGCGGGCTTGATGGGGGGGCGGGGGAAGGCCAGTTTCGGTGAGCACATGGCAGCAAACGCAGGAATTATCCTCTTATTCGCTTTATCACAAAGCTTTAGGGAAAGATGACTCAAAATAGGCATAAGATGTTCCCCCGAACATTCGAACTCGAGTCAGGACGCACCGGACCTTAGGAGAAGAGTTTTCTTCATTTCCCTGTATTCATCTCATCGTGATACTTGTAAAGTAGTGCCTGGTGAAAGCATCATTATCATGTTTCGATGGCAATCGACGATTCTGGAAAATTTTTAATGCTGGGGTTTTGCACGAGGACAGCGAAGTGTAAACTGACGGGTTAGGAGTTTTACTCTCGGCCGAACGAGCGGCCAACTTTCGAGGAACTCGAAAGATCGTCCTTAAAATTAGTGCGAACTTGTTACCTGCCGTCTCCATGACGACTGGAGAAGGCGCTGATTGTGATGCAGCCAGTACGTCCGGCTGCGTCGTGGGGACTGGGCCGAGCCGTCACCGTCATATCTGTGACGGTTCGCCGACCGTCAGAGACGCGGTGCCGGATGATGGTGTCATTGACACTTTCGATCCGATGGACGTAAACGTACGTCCGGTCCCAACTACCATCGGACGACGGTGGACGTAAAAGTACGTCCTTTGACGTTTTTAAAATATTGAAATAATTTAACGCAACAAAAAAGGAAGCTCATACCTCAGTTTTCAACGAAGAGCAAGTCTATAATTTTGTGTTCCGAAATCATGAATTTTTTTTTTATAGACCTCCAAAAAACCACAGTCTCCCTTCGGAGCGAAAGTGTTAAAGCTCACACCAGAGCTCTTCGAAGCTGAAAAGTTGAGGTTCATGAGGAGGTTTTTCAAACGCCCTTAAGCTCGAAAAGAGGCATACTTTTTTATATCCTTAAGAAAAGACTCCATCCGTACCTTCTGAATAGAGATAAGAAGGGTACACATTTGTACCTTATTTTGCTTCGGTACCTTTTCGACGAAAGTATTTTACGACATGAGTTTGTACCTCATAACGTAAATATGTTCCTCACTGTACGATTCTGCACTACTTAAAAAGGAAATGTTCCATACCCCTCGCATCGGGAACCTCTTCGTTCCGTAGATTGTGACATCGTTCCGTATTTTAATTTCATATTTGGAATTACTTATAGGTCTGTTGAATCGCTTGACCTCCTCTCTCCCCCCCCTCTCTGATCCTCTGCTTAGCACTTCTCCACCAAAGTCTGGTGGATTATAGCCCGTGTGTGAGTTTGAAAGGTCGGGGGTGGTTAAAAATCGGCATCCGGGAACGTCCGGCACGAGGCGTGTGAAAATCTCTGCACGACACCGGTTTCGGGGGTTGCTCATTTCTTCCCCACGTGTTCCTTACGTTCGTCGCGGTCGTTCTGTCGGCAAGGGAGGGAAGAGAGGAGAAGAAAGAACGACCGATACCGCTTCGTTGCGCCGTTTCGTCCACGGATATCGGATCCGGCACCGCCTCTCTCGGTGACGCGTTCGTACGGCTCCGTTCGCTCTTCGAGACGGTCGCGGGGACTGGAAGACGGAGTCCCGCCCCTCGGCGACGTCCGTCGCCACAGGAGGACGAGGATGTAAACCTCTCTCGTATACGCACGTTCGGTGCATGAAAGTCGATGGTTTCGGTGGAAAAATCGTGCGGGTGATGGCGACGAGCGATCGTCGGCCGTGGCGGACCCCATCACCACTCGTCTTCCTGGAAGAGGGAATACTACCCGGTAGAACATCTTTATCCGTACGATACGGTGGAATTCCAGGAATGCAGGCGAGGAGCAGAGTTTCCAGCGCAGCCCGACCGACCTTTCCTATTTCGCTCCTCGGGGTCGTCGGGGCACGCGAACCGAACCTTCGTCTCTCCGTCGTGCCGTACGCATCCGCACGATGCGTGTGCGTCCTTGCGTCTTCCTGGATTTCTCGTCGCATCGACTCCGTTTACTTTCGCGAAGCTCCGACCCGAAGTGGGGGAGGAACGGCGAGACCTCGGGCGTCGCGTGTTGCCTCCTCGAAAGAGGGGCGGCGAGGCAAAAACGGCGAAGAAACGTCACCCGGAGATCGCGCATCCACCGCGATCGTCGATTGCACGATCGAGGGAGGAAGAAGCCAGATGTCGAACGTCGGGTCGGACGCGAGGGAGAGGCGTCGCAATCGAGGCAGGAGAAAGGCGTGGGATGACATTTTTTCTTTTTTATCATATGAGAGTGGCGCAAACAAATATCTTTCTACGGTATATTTATGGGGGCGACTCGCTAACATATACGATAAATAAAATTGAAAAAAAATGTTCTCAGAAGCCCGATGATTTTTTTCGTTTAAACTCTAACAATTATTTGAAATGAAAAAAATGAACCGGTCGGGTCGTGGGCGCTATGGGATGTGTCATCGGCCGGGTGAAGAAGTAAAAGCCTTGCCCGATGAAGGCCACGGAGACCCTTAATTTCGAAAGATGGATGCGAAGAGCTGCATCCCGATTCGCTGGTGTGCTTTATTTTCCGTTCGGAAAGTAAGACGCCGCCGTGCCTTTCCGTGGACTTTCCGCCGGCGGGTGGCTTTTGCTTCTCGTCGTCGGTGACGAAAACGACGCGGATCGTTGCGGCAGACGTTTTCTATCGCATTCGAGAATCGCGCTCGTGCGATCGCGAGCGTGCCTCGTCGCTCGATCGAATGCGAGGCCGCGATCCGAGTTCGTACCGATGAGGGTTTCGGTCGGCCGTGGTTCCCGTCGATTCCCGAGAGGATTCCTCGATCGCGGGTGGACGCAGGCCGGCTCCTCTCTCTCGTTTGAAAAACGATCGAATTTACTCGGAGCGATCGATTTTCGAGCGCGACGATCTCGTCGGAGGCGAAAATAATTGGGAAATCGAGCGCATTCCCTCGCCTCGGTCGGCCGGCGTGAAAGAAATCTCGTACCGGTGAACGCGCCGCGCTCCTTCCCTTTTCGGTCGCGTTCACCCGACCGACGCGACGTGCCGCGGGTCGTCGGTCCCGACAGGTCGCGGTCCCGACGCGTCGTCGCGAACCGAAGAGTTCCCGGTTTCCTCGTGAGATTCGCCGGTCGGCTCGTCTCGGAGAAGTTTCGGTCGAAAGAATTTTCCCGTTTTTCTCGCAACCCTTTTCCTCGGGGACTCGACGTTCTGCGCGTTCGACCCACGGACGGTCGAGCTCGAAGTGCGACGAGGCCGAGGCTGGGGAGAGGCGACCGGGTGCGCCTACCGTCTTGCGACTCGAGCACTCCACGTCCGGGTCTCACCACGCCTTTGCCCGATGCTCTTCTTTTTTTCGTGGATCGATGCCCATCTCGAGACGATTCGAGGCTTCTCGTCCCTCGTTTGGGGTCGGAGTCGTCGGACGACGCACCGAAAGGGAAATCGCGAAAGCGAACCTTCGGTGAGCTTCGCTCGAGAAATTTCAGGAAAACCCGACGCGTTGTCGTCGTCGAAAGCGAACGGAAACGGATGCCCGCGCTCGGAAGCGTCGAGCGAAACGTCTTTGCCGAAACGGTAGAAGTCGTTTCTCCGTGATATAAAACCCTACGATCGGCCTCGATCGCGATTCGCTCGACGGTATTCCTCGGAGAAGATGCCCGGCGGAGGCGCACCGCATCGCGCTTCGGGTCGTTTCTCGCGCGGTGCCAGGAATATGACATTTCGTTCCGCGACGAAAACCGACGGGAGACGAGGCGAGACTCGTCGTCGCGATGTGGCGACCGTGGACGGTCACCCGTCTCGTCGGGTGGAAACGCGGGGAGGGAAAATTCCTTCGACTCCGTCGAGTCCAGCGGATCTCGAACCTTTCCGCATTCCCATTCGTCGCATGAATTCCACCGACGCCTTCGGAAGAAATTCCGAGTGGAGGGGTCTCCTCGGTCTCCTCGGTCTCCTCGGTCTCCTCCTCGATTCTCTACTTCATCCGATCCGTATTAAATGGAGGGGGGCGCGGAACGTAGACCCGAGTTTCGCGACTCGACGGTGGTGTCCTCGATCCGCTTAAAACTTCGCGCGAGGATCGCGATCCCCCGAAGGAGCATCCACGAGTTTCGATGCGGATCGCCGTTCGTCGGGTGCATCGGTGTGCAGCGATGCACCTCGACGAGGAGCCGCCGTTTTCGCCTGCTCCTGCGACCGTCGAGAGAAGTCGACCGCTTCGGCAGCCACCGGAAGACGTCACGACCGCGGACGGTCGATGCCGAACGTTTTCGGCCCCGCGACCGTAAACCGGTCGGGAACGCCGACGCGGACCGTACGTCCCCGAACGAACGCATCGACGAGCTCGGTCGGTGGAATCGTACGGAGCGACGCGGCGACGACCGGTGGAAGCGCGTCGAAACGCGAGTCGAGTTTCGCCTTCTTCGGTGGAAAACGCGTCGGGATTCTCCATCGCGCGAACGAAGTGGAACTCTCGCATGCGATGGCCGGTCCACGCGACGCGATCGAGGGCCGATCGATCGAAGAATCGCGGCGAATCGCACGGGATCCGAACTCCGACTCGACGGATCCGGAAAGTCTTCCGACGATCTCGTACTCTTCGGTCTTTCCTTCGTCCCGATGCTCGGTGCTCTGTGCTCGTGATCGGCCCAATCGAAAGGCCCTCGAAAGGCACTCGAAAGGCACTCGAAAGGCACATCCTCCGGTGCGAGAGAAGGCTGTCACGTTCGATCCGTTTTTCCATCGGGCGCCCGTAGGATCTTCTCGCGACGGTCATCTCGGATTCGTCGGAGCGGTCGTCGATCGGTCACCGCGAAAATCCGCATCCTCGAGTCTTTACGAGCGGAAACGTGCCTCGTTCGCTCGGGTTCTTTCGGGTCTTCCCCGGAAGTACTTTTCGCGAGCTCGTCGCTCGGTATCGCCTAAGGGCACACCCTCGAGAGCGCGACGAGGTCGACGGTACCTCGTCTCTCGAGAGGAGTCGTTCGTCGAGGTCGCAGGGCGAACGACGAGGAGCGCCACCTAGCAGCAGGAGTCGAACGAGGAGAAGGAGAAGAACGAGAAGCGGATTCCTCGGCCAAGTACGGGGTGCCGAGACAAAAAGTTCGCATCGCGGATGCGTATTTTTTTCACACCGTCTGGCCGAAAACGATTTTATTTTAAACGGTCGAAAAGAAGGAAGAGAAAATTTACGTTGCCGAGAATCTCGCGAAGATCGAGGAACTCCGATGCGAGGTACGAAAGGACGAAATGGACTCGGGGGTGACGCCGAGTGACGCCGAGTGACGCCGAGTGACGCTCGCTCGCCACCGCGAACCGCACGGTCGAGGTGAAGGCGAAGCAACGACGTAGAAGCATTAGCGATTCCTAACATTCCTGCAAGAGCTCGCTATTCTACCCGACACTGCCGGTCGTCGCGCTTTCGTCATCGGGATCGTACGGAAGTGCGAAAACGAGTTCAGAAAGGACACGGGTCGACGTGGAGGAATTTCTAAAGCGTCCGAAGATGTGGGTGGGGTGCGTGTCGAAGAGGAGCACACCCGAGCGCACCCTTGCACACCCTTGCACACCCTTCCGCACGTCCTCGAGCGGCATCGTCTCGGTCCGCGAATTTCTGTCTCCCATTCCGTCTCGTATCCCGCATCAGAATCCATCGATTTTTATGACGCTTTTGGCAAAATAAAGTCATCTTTCGTCTCGTCGGCTGCGTGAAGAATTCTCGCGTACGTCACGATGCGAGAATAGAATCTTGCAGTGTTCTTTTTTACCCCGTGCTTCGATATCACCTCGTGCATCGGGCCGGTACGAACGAAACTCGGTGTACTTCGGGGAAGGAAGTGAGGTAACGGATGCACGAGTTTGCACTCGACCGCGAACTCGAGTTTTGGCCTTCGAGTGCGAGAGTCGGACGGAAAGAGACGCGTTCCGTTCGGATTTTTGCACGAGTCGTTCCCGCCCACAGTGCGTCCCGTCTCGTCGTTTCCTTTTCGTCGACGGCGACGGACGTTTCGAAATCTCGGATGCGAAACGCGAGTCTCGGAATCGCATCGAAACGAGGTCGATTTCGATGCACGCGGTCGCACGACGTCGTCGACGGCAGACTTCTGCCCGCGAGAGCGGCAGTCGTCGTGCGACACCCGGTACGCATTCGGCCGTCGCCATACCTCGCTTCACGAAGGTGTGCGTTGGCATTGCGGACCGATCGGGGCGCGTGCCAAAGCGGAGTGTGACATTGGCACGCTTCCATCGTCCCGTCCGAGACTCCACACTCCGCGTTTCGCGCTCCACGGTGCGGTGGGCCTCCATGGCTCTGGGTGTGGGTTCCCGGGAGTTCGCGGAGATCATCGAACGGATCGGGTGCATGCACATGCCCGCGATTCGCATCGCGGAAGAACGCGACGAGCGAGAGCGCGGGCCGGAGAACGGGAGAGGGATCCTCGCTTCTCGATCCGCTCCCTCGTCGTTCCGCGCCCTCGAGGAGGGACGAGAAGATCACGGTGCGGTTCTGGATCGGCTGAGGTCTCGCTGCACTTCGCGTCAAATCGAACCCTGCGAGATCTCCACCCCTCCCCCCGTCCCCGCGAGGTACCGGCGTCCGATCGGCTCCGAGAGAGCATCCGTGGATTCGACGAGGCGCGGTGAGGTCCCGAATTCCGATTCTCTCCAGGGGTAGCCTAAAGACGAGGAGCCCGGCGATGCGGACGAACCTGAAGCAGGAGTTGATGAGGCAACAGGCCGTGGAGTTGGAAAAGAAAGAACGGGAGAGCCGGAGTCGAGGATTCCGAGAGCAAGAGGCATCGCAACCGTCGCTTCTCCACATCCCCTCCTCCCTTCCTCGACGAGTCCTTCAAGTACCTCCCTTTCGTTTCGCGATCCTCTCGGGAACCTAATCGAATCGCTGACCTGGAATGAGAGAGGGAGAGAGATGATATTCACCGATATCCCGCCGACCCGGTGTAGGCCTACTGTATATGTAACTCATACAAGTTTCATCACGGCATCTCAACCCGGGTCTCTCTCTCTCTCTCTCTCTCTCGGCTCTGGGTCCGATCCCGAGGGCGGGACTGGGTAGAGGAAATCAAAATCGGTCCCATCGTTTCGACAGGTGAGGACGAGGCTGGAGAATCCGACCAAGTATCACGTGTTGGAGAGCCAGAAGAGGCAGGTGTTGGAATATCTTCAACACGACTCGGGGATCGGCACGTCCAAGACGACGACGACGGCGACGAGGGGAAATGTGAGTCCCGGGACGGGAAAATTCCGTGTACGATCCCGTATGATAATGGCCCGGAGTCACTGCCTGCATGATGACGGATCCGAGATCTCCGATCCCCCGTCCTCTCCCCCTCTCTCTCTCTTTCTTCTCTTCGTGTTTGTGGACATCGGATCGGATTCGGAAGCTGGCCTCGTCCTGCCCAGGATCTCGAGTGAATGAGTGAATGAATGTACGAATGCGTGAGGATGCCCGTGTATCAACACCACGATCCTCATCGCCACCACGAACCGTCGTCGACCTCTTCCTCTTCCTCCGCCTCCTTTCACGTATCCACGACGTCGTTCCTCCCATATCTTTCTTTCTCTCCCACGAGTTCTTTCGATCGATGCGAAGGTATTCGCTTCGAGAGTGGGGGTCGATGGATGCATACGGGTGTGTTGCAGGTGGAGGATTTTCTCGAAGACATCCTACATGGAGGGGCGAAGGAACATTCCATTCTGGATCAACTCCCGGTCGCGGTGTCTCCGAATCCGACTTCCTTCGAAGGACACGTACGGATCGAATCGGTCGTCGTAGAATGCTCTGGACGAGTCCGAGAGCTCACAGAATCGTGTGGTTGTAACGAAGCAGGCGGAGTTCCTTCAGGAGCTCCTCGGAGGAGGAGGAGGAGGAGGAGGGGGAATGATGAAGGAAGACGGGCCTCCGTTGTCGGCGCCGGTACCGGGACCCGGATCTGCACCGGGACCGTCCCTGTCCGTGTCCGTGTCCGAGGCAGACGTTCGAGCCCTGGCCAAGGATCGACAGAAGAAGGACAATCACAATCTCAGTCCGTGTCTTTCTCTCCGCGTCTTTCTTTCGGCCGGACGACACGCGGGCGTCCTCATTGGCTTTCTCTTTCGCAGTCGAGAGGCGGCGTCGCTTCAACATCAACGATCGGATCAAAGAGTTGGCGACGTTGTTGCCCGAGCCGGACGACCCCAATTACGATCTCGTCCGAGACCTTCGACAGAATAAAGGTCAAATCCTCAAGGCCAGCGTGGAATACATCCGGAGATTGAAGGGAGAGGTGTTGCAGAGCCGAGGAGTGGACGCGGAGAGGAAGCAACTGGAGATGATAAATCGAAGGCTCCTCCTCCGCATCCAGGTCTGATTGCTCTGTCATCAAGAATCCCTACATGTCTTCCTCTTTCTTCACCAGCCCTCCCCCCCCCCCAACTCTTCATGCTTCTCCTTGACGTACTAAATCGTAAGAGATTTCATGGATATCTTCCTTCGTTTTTAATGCTTACGTAAGGAGTAAGCTTTGCTCCTACGAACTTCCTGCCCTCGACTTGTAAAACATGCAACATTCTTCAAATATTCATGTTAAGGTAAACACATTTCACTGAAAAAGTTTCGCATATAATCGCATCATAAAATTATCAGGTGCAATCCTCAGTCGCATATCTTGTTGCATGACAGGTGGCAGTAAATTCTCATGTACACCAAAGAGCAACGTTAAAATCTACAGTCCAGAAGAGGGTGAGGGAGGAATAGTTCAGAAATCACATAGATATATGTCACCATCAAAGTTTCATAGGTAGTCCCAGCCTGTCGAGGAAAAGAGAATTAGGATGAAATTTTCTCTTATCGAGAGTTTTTGTCGGACTTGTTCAAACTTCATGGACTTTGAAAATGTTAGATCCGCCCTGAAATTCGTTCCTGGCTACATCCCTGTTCATGCATAGGGTTGGTGCCTAGGGGTGGGGGGAAGGGAGGAGCACTAGCAGTTGTTATTGTAAATTTTATCAAATTTTCTTTCATAAGTTTTCATAAGATGAAAATCTGAACTGGTATAATTTTCTTTAATATGAGATGCTTTGCTTTGTGCATTTCCTTTTACTTAGTTTCTTTCTGTAGTGAACTCTACATTCTCCTCCTTGCCTATACAATTCATTTGAGTGCACTTCTCACTTGTATCTCTTTGATCCATAGTGGTATGCAATGCCATCATGAAAATTATGCCATTATGGGCTTTTCATTTCTCTGAATCACAATTTCTTTAAATTGCAACACAAGATACTTTGGTATCACCTATGCATGACCATACTCTGGAACATCAATCCTGCTCTAGCAAGTCTTTGGCTTCACCATAATGAAGCTCGTGTTTGTATCTCGTTCTCCCATGTTCCACCCTAAAAGGCACCCTCTGATCTTAACCCCTTCTTTAAGTCTGTTGCCTACAATCTTATTCAAATCTCTTCCCCATTCCTTACTCCCTTTCTCCCCATGGTCCATTTCACCAGTCCTTAGCAAAACCTTTCCCTTCGCTGCATTTTCATATTGTACCTGCCTGCCATTATGAAACTCTATTAACTAGCTGAAAAGCTCAAACCTAACCTCCTAACCAAACCTAACCCTCCAGACAGAATTTTTGATTCATGCTGAAATGCCATTAAGGCATTTCAGCATGAATCAAAAACTCTGTCAACAATCTTTTCTCTGTGCTCTCACCCTCATACCGATCTGTGGATCGCAAGATCCCACTGCTCTGACTCCCTCAAAATTGCCAATATTATTCCCATCTTCAAAAAGGGTGAATGTGAAAACCCCTCGTACTGCTTTGCTTTCTTGAATCTTCTGAGTGAAATATCCAATGAACATCTCTCCCAGCAATTGTACTACATTCCTGGAATGTACAACTCCATTCTAACCCATCTGAATTCCATAAGAACCAAGCATGCGTCACTGCTGTTGCTAATTATACTTCTCATCTTCTCATTGCACTTGAAAGTTCTGCAGCTGGTACAATATTTAGTAAATCCACTGAAGCCTTTGACACTGTTGACGTCAAACACTTGTTACTAAACTCCAGTTATTAAACTCCACTATCGACTGTTGCCCTCCTTTGCAGACCTGATGCAATCATATCTGCACAACTGTTGCCCATGCATTTCTGCTCTATAATCCTTGTCCTTACCTATTCTGGAATATTAATGAACTTTTCCATGGGTTTCCCTCAATGCTTATATCTCAGACCTCTTTTTTTTCTTATTTATGTAAATGATATACCATTTTACCTACATTGTTAAATTGTTGAACCATATGCCAACAGAGCCACCCATTCTGCCCAATGCACCCTCTACTTACAGACCAGAAAATTAATCTTCAAAAGCGATCTTTAGAACCTCCTCCTCTGGTCTCTGCCCCAAGAGATGATTTAAAAGCATTGCATTAGAGTAACTCAAAGATCCACCTTCAACAAAGCTGAGCTTTCTCTATGTTGGAATGGCTAATATTGATGGCCAAGCCTCCAATGCTTCACTTAGTTCAACTCATAGAATCTTTCTCACTGAAACACCTATTTGCCTGTCCTTCCCGCAGCTGCAGTATGTACTATCTCTCTTCTGAAATAATTTTTATCTCATGCCCCTTATGTAATCCCTGTAAAGTATTATTCAGGTACAGAACAGCTATACTTGAGAATTATTATCGATTGCAGTTCACATGCACTCTTCTGAATCACATGAACTCTTCATGCACTGTTCACAGCTTCTGAATTTCCCCGACCCCTGGGTTTTTGTAGAGATTATCCATGAGTGCAGGTTATCTGACATAAGAAAATATATTCATAAATCTGCAAAATTCTGTCAGCGTTTTCTCTGGGAGAAGTCATTAATGGTAATACTTATTGTTTTGTGTTGACTTCCACAAAATGAGAGTGACACCATAGGTTTCCTCTCTTTTGCTAAAAAAAAAATTATCTGTTGCAGAATGTGAAGGCAAAAACAAGTTTCAATGCACTTCTCATAATCTCTCTTCTCATTTAATGTTTTCTTCAAGGGAACCTCAAAAACTTAGTAACGATACAGATACATCTCCCATCTCATAGGACTCCTATGAGATGGGAGGGTTCCTATGGCAGGTGGCATATCCTGAACTTTATAGCTTCCAGGAGCATTATGTCATGGTGCACGTTACACTCAGAAAGCCTGGATGTGGGCTACATGTTCTCTTGACTTTTAGCATACCTAGGAGTGTATTATGCAAAAGTAGCAAAAAAGACTATATGCAGATGAAAACTAAACTTGTGACGAAAGGTAATGATTGATGAGCTGAGTCAGAGGTACATAAGTCCATCTTTGTCCTTTTTAGCTAAAGGTTTTTTCATCTGAGATCATACAATCTCAGGGACCAAGTGCACTTGGAAGTAAGTTTAAGAACTGATTTTGAAATCTTCTCACATGCTTGAAAAACTTTGCGACTCAGACGTGTGTCATTTTGGTGCTATGCCACAAAGAGTACTTAATTCCATTCTTCTTGCCTTTCCTTCCTTGTCTCTCAGCTTGGATGCAGTCTTTTTTCATAACTCATTCATTTCTATAGGGTACCTTTCTTTCTAATGGCACTTTTCCCCTCTTGGAAAGTGACAGCCTAGACCTGTGGTTCTCAACGTTTACGGTAGCATGGACTGGTTAGATTGTACCATAAGTGTTGTAGACCGGCTAGCTAGCCTCCTTTCCCCCCCCCCCCCCCCCCCCCTATCCTCTTCTAAAATATTAAGAGGAGGTGCTGCCCGAGGTTCAACTGCCCAAGGTGATGAATGAAGTCCTGAGGGGGGGTGTTTAAGGAAGTCGAAGGAAGTGGAATGTGAGCACTGCACACTAAAGGGGCAGTCGTAGACTGGGAGAGGAGCAATCGACGCATAACTTACACTCTAAAAAAAGTCCAACTTTCCCTTTCAACGTCCATTCACCAATCCACTCGCAGACAGGCAAAACCCTTATCGGAGACTGGCATTTGAGAAACACTGGTCTAGACTATTTGCTGACGATGATTTATGATGACCTAAAAGAAAATGCTAAGCTTGTGAGTGTCTTTACCCTGACAATCAGACACTGAACTCGGCATGCTAGGCATGTCTGGTCTAACCTTTTTGATTTTTCCAGGCATGTCTGAATGGGATTTCAAATAATGGCATAGGAGCCAACTGGCCTGAGTCACTATCACTATCAGGAGGCTGTCAGCAATGAGCTAGGTCTGGTCTGGTTGCACCAGTTTGAATTATTCCATCCCAGCTTACCAACATATCTAAAGAGCCAAGTTGTTCTTTGGAAGCTGCATCATGGAAGCAATAGTCAATTGGCGCCTTCTTCATTGATGAGAAATCATTCGAGCGAGGATCGATCAAATTCATTGAAATGTCTCCTAAGTCTCTAGTTTTTATGTAATTGCATAAAGTAGGAAATTGTGGCTGAAAAATGTCTTAAGTCAATTATCATTTAGTTGTCTTTTTTTAATTCCACGTAAAATTTTTTTGAGGGGGGAGGAAACAATGGTCTGTGATATACAGGATTGATGGCATATGGCATCGTTGGGTGGAATACGCATTCAAAATAATTATTCTACTCACGTTCTCAAATTTTACTTTTATGCTTATTGGCATCATCATGCAGTAGAGGGTTAATAGAACTACACAAATTTTCATGTCTGTTTCAGTGTTACAGATCATGTGTCGTGCATCTGCACCAAAAGTTTGTCTTTCCAGACTTTTACGTTTCTCTGTCGTATAGTGCCCCTAACTGAGCTAGTTTATGATATGCAGCACCAAATTTCTAGTCATGATGTTTGGCAAATCAATGAGGCGGGAAAAAAATTGTACGGATTTGACAACTAGTAGTCTTCCGTCTGAAATATATATTTAAAAAAAAGTTAACACTCTCCGGGCGCCTGTTTCTTAGAGCAATATGTCTAGTAGACGACGGTTTTAGTAGACGTAGCAGACAGCGGCGGCGAGATGAAGTACAAGGACCTAACTTACGCCTGGACGAACGCGGGGCTTGCATACCTTCAATTCCCTGTCGATTTTTAATCATCGGGAATTTCTTTTCCTCCTGATCATATCACCTACACGAATTAGGATCGGAAGAGAAAAAAAATGAATACAGATGCGGTAATCAGTTTATTATGCTGGTATCTCACAAATTTATTTGTATTATTTTTTTTGTGGTCCTTGTACTTCATCTCGCCGCCGCTGTCTGCTACGTCTACTAAAACCGTCGTCTACTAGACATATTGCTCTAAGAAACAGGCGTCCGGAAAGCGTTAACTTGATCTATTATTTTTGATTGAGGGAGAACCATCCCGAATGGTGTTTGACACGTC